TGCTACCAGCTGGTAACACAGCACAATTGCACGTAAACCGCGTACGCGACTCACCGCTGTGTTCAAGTCAAGTTGAACCGGCCTCATTCGTAACTTGCATGCTATACTCTGCAGATACCTGACATAGAAATCGAGGTAGGCCTAAATCAAAGCATTTCATTTTTATTGTAGAGGGTATTAACATGAGTAGACTCTAATATAAATCAACTGACGTATGAATGTGACTGATAATGTAATGATAGTGAGTGTGAGCTTGAACTTTGAAGATGATGCTTTTTACTTTAGTGAAGCTAGTGAGTTGCTCCCCGATCCAGGCCAGGCTCAAGCGTCTCTGCTGTCTACTCTACTCTAGAGCTAGTGACTAGTCTCAGGCTCAAAAAGTCAACTTCAAGTCTAGCGAAATTTGAAATTGTTGAAGCTTGGCTGGCATCTCTGCGCAAAATGATCCGTAGACCTGGGGATTTGTTACACAAAACTATCTACGATCTAGGCCTATTTAGTAAAATATCAATGATATTAGGCCTAATGATATCTCGATGCTGTCGCTCGACTTGTCCGCTCAGCTCAGACAGTGACAATATTTCATAAAACTTTAAAACCGTCTTTGCCAATTAGACGAACGACGTCTTCCCCAACAAGAATTTCAAGAGACTTGTAGGGACTCCAAACCTGTCGTATCATTTTACTTATTTTCAGAACGCCATCTCAAGTCAACTTGAAATTTGAATTAGCCTATGGACAATGCCGGTGAAGAACTGAAAAATTTATTTCAGAACTAATTTTTATTTCTTGATTTTCATGCAAGCTTTCATTTTTCTGAACAGTTCTCATTGCAATTGGTTTTTACTGTTAATAATAATATAAAAGAACTGTACAACGACAAGCTTACAATCTGTTCTTAGAATGTTTTAATGCCTTTATTCTTTAAGAGTAAATAAGATAGTAGTCCATTGGTCTACCATAGAAAAGTTGCTGAAGACGGAATAGACCCTAGTCTATCATTACAGAATGATAACAATTTTTGTGTAGGTATGTCTCCAGATATTTTACATTTCCAAGCATAACCTTGAAACAAATCTTATCACATAATTATTTGGTTACTGGTAATGAATGTTAAAATTGTAGTCAATCTTGTTTTTATCATTTTTTTTTAAAGATAAAGACCAGTTATGGTCATGCGATTACATTGTTAAATAAACGTGGAATCGATCAGAAAAGATTGATCATCTAGCATATGAGTATTGGTGTGTACTGCAAGGTTCTGGAATCATCAAAATTATAAGAAATTTGGCACAGTCTTGGTAAAGTTACAAGCACTGTACACAGAAAGATGTATATGGGACTACGCACACGTGCGTGACACGTGCGTTATTTCTATCAGGTCCAAATAGATATAATAATTTACCAAATATATCAATTAGTAGGTGGTTTCTCGGCAAAATTTGTATGATCGTGTATTAGTCAAAACATATTCTTTCATATCGTCCTTGTTTTCACGAAGTGACGGTAGTGAGGAAAATCGTAACGCAAAGTGAATGCAATTTTTTTTCACTACCGTCACTTCGTGAAAACAGCGACGATATAAGTTGGTCATAAGAGCATCCATTTCATTTTTTGAGAGGAGGGCGTTTCCAAAACCAGTCTTAACCTTTAATAGAAATAAAATCAGGTCTTCTTCTTTTTCTTTCATTATAACTTGATGGCAGTTAGTCATACTTGAATATTTTGGTATTTGGTAATTTTTTTCTCCCCCCTCTCTCTTAATTGATAATTGTTTATATACTTTCTATATATTTCTATAATGTTCTAGTTTTTCATTCCTAACTAAATTATATACATATACATCTCTTATTAGCTGAATTTACAATAAAAATCTGCAAAACAACCGATATCCCCCTCACAGTTCCAACTGCCCTTACCATGCCCTTTCTCTTTTAATTGGATATGAGATATGGTATCCTCTTTTAAAATTGCAAATTTTGATTTGCACGCCGCAAGAGCAATTTTGAGTTTCCTAAGTTTTTTAGTATTCTGAGATGTCATTTATAGCGACACTTGTGATACCTCTCTTAAATTTTTTTTTTTTTTTTTTTTTTTTTTTTTTTTTTTTTTAACAGTTAAAGTGAAATTAAACCTCTTATCTCTTTTGGTAAGTCGGGATAAAATCTGATGGATCGTGATGAAGACCCTATTTCCTAGCCGAAAGTATCGACATGATTTGTTGCTTATTTTGGTTTTAGTGAAACGGGTTGTCTGCGTCCTGATATCTCTGTAGGTCGCAAACAAAGATGTGACTGTAGATGGGAAAATACATTTTTTTTTAAAGATCATTAACATTAAACAATTGCTCAGTCATATTTACCTACCGGTAAGTTTAACTAGAGCCAAGTCCAAGCCAACTTTGGTTTAAATTAAGGGCTGTTCATGGTGCCCTGCTGAATGAAATATATTTTAAAACAATATATCTAAATCAACAGTCTACATGTATGTAGACCATTTGTATATGGGCTTCAAAACAGCTTTTGAGTTTATCATCTTTCAGAAACGTGATTCTGGCTGTATGTCACATTCAAAACACACCTTTTTGCGTCTTTACATGTAGATATGCCTATATCTAAAGACGTTTAAAAAAGGCTTTGCGTTTATCACCACCTTCAAAATTTGCCTGAAAGACGTTTGAGAACCTGATTCTAGGCAAAAATTTGGTCAATAAACGCACCCGTAGACTCTTCACATAAGAGTGGAGGCTAGTACATGTGATGCAATTAAGCACACCTGTGGTGTGAATGTACACAATTAAGCGCTGGACTTGGATGCGAATGGATGGACTCACACACACAACACTGCTCATTAGCATAAATCAGTAAAATGGAACCCACTCAATTTTGATTTCTAAAGCACTTCCAGCTTAATCAACAGGGGATCAATTTATTTTGGAATGATTGATTGTATAAGTTGCTATCGTTGGACTCACCCATTAGCATTTGGGGAGCTTCTCCGCTGCCAGAAATCCTTTAACTAGCCTCGGTTTAGGCTCAAAATAGCGGGATCTTTTTTTCTATTTTTAATGCTGCATGAACACAAATGTATGCTCTCCTCTGATACACTGTGAGCAAAAACTTTTCATTTTCCCAAAAAATTGACCAAGTTTAAATTAAAATTTATGTGAAATCATGAACCAAATATATTCTTTTGATAAGTTATTAGAACACATTGTTTGGATTAGTTTAGTACTTTGGTTGGTTTGTTTTACCTTACTGCCAAGAAAGTATTTAAATGTATAAGTAAGCAACCAGGAGATCAACAGCTTTAAGTCCTCTCCAATGGACCTGATATTGAGGACTAATTCTTTACCATAGGAGCACAAGCACATTGACTGGTTTTGACCCCGGGTCTCGGGATTTCCCTGTTACAAAACCTCTGTTGTACCACTCAGCTATTGCACCTCTGCATGTTTAGGGTGCTTCACTCCAATGGCCCTCTGTTTTTACTACCTGAACCGAATCGTTATCATTAACATCTCGGTTTCGTGCTCCATTCAAGGCTTAAAACAAAACGTGACTTGTTACATCCTTTAGATTTTAAACGTAATGAATGCATGTAACTACATGACCTAGATCACCAACCTTCATAAAACCTCATTATTGATGGCAACGGTCGGTCACTATGTTTTGTATTCTATTGAAATCTCTGTGTCTCAAGGAACTAGCCAGAACCTGACCTCCATTAATCCCGAGTATTGACCTAGGGCGCTATTGTGAAAACTCACTGAACTAAGCTTTCCCTTTGACTTTCCTTTTAAGGCCACATACATGTAGTAGTCAATGTCCATGTGTATTGCATCATAATTCTGACACTAGATTTGGTGGAATTACCAATCAATATGTCTGCATGTCTGCAAAGGTCTCAGAAGCAGCGAAGCCTGTAGTCCCACCAGAAAATACACCGACTTCCCTACATCTTGAGGTTGAGGTAAATTTGATAGACATGTATGATGAGAATCCCATAAGGTGGTAGACTGGGGCACAATTAATGCATTACACAAGACCTGTTTGCCAATAAAAGTGAAGTCCACTCTTGGTGACTGACAACACCTGTTATTGGGTGAACACCAGAATGGTGTCAAATTCCCCATGACAACCCACTACTATTTGTATTTAACTGAGCACTAATGGACCTCCAAATTGGTATCCTGAAAGCTCACTTCTTAGCGGAGGGAATATGGCAATGTGTGTTGTGGAAGTGGAACCTGTCTAGTAAGGCCACTATTATACATGTTTTGTGAACACTTTATCTGAGTTGGCCTCTATAGAAAGTAAGACAGATTTGATAGCACCTACAAAATCCTACAAGTACTACAATAGCTTTGAAGATGTTCTCAAGGCATGTAGCAAAATAGGGGGGAAAAGAGACCAAACGGATAAAGAAAATTGCTGGCAAATAGTCAAATATTGACCAGTTAAATAGATATGTTTGCAGAGTAGCTTTATTGCCCTACTGTATCAGCGTGCCCTTTTTTGGAGGCCTGTACATACAGTACATGTTCATTGCAGTTCTACCCTGCTAAATGTAGGGTAGCATGCTCAAAGCCCCATTTTCTTGCTCAGCTTTCTTAAAACTAAGTTAAGTTGTAAACACATACCAAAGCAGCATTAAGGCCTCGGTGTTAATTGGACAAATGTATCTAATGGTCATTGAAATTTATCTAGGCCTGCATTTCAGTCACGAGTGTAGAGAAAATGCAACTTTGTGTGATCAATAAATGACCGATGAGCTTTTCAATTTCATGCAAGAGATCGAAGACCCTGAGCCGCAGAGCTTGGAAGTAGGTCAGTGGAGTCATTTCAGTTTCCTCTTTTCAGTTTCCTCTTTTCTTCTTCTTTTCTTGTTGGGGGGGGGGGGGGGACATGGTTACTCAATGACAAATTGAGTAGCTGAAACTTCTCTATTGTCTGTCGCCACAGAGTGAACAGAATTCCTGACTGGCTCCGGTAGCAGGCTATTGTGTTTGAAGTATCGATCTATTAAGTGTGTGACCCCCAGGAGGGAGCGATGCCCTTTGTTCAACTCCTTGCGTTGGTTCGATAAAATGGAATATTGACTGATTAGAGAGAGAGAGACCGGTTCCGTAACCATTTATCCGCATGTTGTTACATCGTGTAGGCAGTGCGTACTCGTGGGCCACATGAACAGTATATGCGTGTCCTTAATTAGTTTTAACATCTTCAAGTGCAATTATTGGATCAATTAGCAAGACCCAGGTAAAAAGAACTATTTTCTGTCAATCTTAAATTATACATTTATTTACCTTTTCTTTATACAACCTTGTTCACTGATACTGTATGTCCCTTTCATTACACAATGATTCTCTACCGGTATACGTCATTTCATACTACAGTGTAGTTTGTTTCCACTTTCCTCTATTCTGAAAGGGCAACTACCGGTAAACAGCTTTAAGTGGATGATGAGGATTATCCCCAATAATCCTGAGTTGCAGGGTTTCTTTCAGAAGAAACACTGAAGGTTCTTTCATGTGTGAAACATTCTACCTTTCTTCTTTCTTTTTTCCCCTTTTTTTTTGAATGACTTGTTGTACATGTATGTAATCACAGGTGTCAGACTTAATAATCCTGAGTTGCAGAGTTTCTTTCAGGAGAAACACAGACGGTTCTTCCATGTGTGCAACTTTCTACCTTTCTTCTTTCTTGTTTTTCTTTTTTTTAATGGACTTGTTGTTCATTATGATATGGGGTCAGACTAAATGGGCCTGTTTGTAAATTATGATATAAGAAAGCTTGGGTATGCATTGGTTCACATCGAGAAGAAAGTGTGGTACTCTACCATGGTTGAATTGATGTTTATTTGTGTAATTTGAATGTAGATCATTATGAACTGATAAACCCAACAGTGATATTTTGATTTCTTTCTAATGGATTTATATACAAAAGTTGAAAGATTGTACAAAAGCTTAAACTTAGCGCTGGGGTTTAAATTGTAGTAAAATATGGGTCAATGTGTTTTGTACTGGTCAATGTCTCTTTGCATAAACTGTACTTGAACTCAAGGTTTGTAGGCAACGTGCAGAGAGATCTTGTTTGCATGAACTCAACTAGAGATAGCGATCAGCTGTTAGTTTGTCATTGGTCTTCTCTAGGTCATCGTCATGACGCATTCTTATGGCACCACCAAGTCTCCTGGTCAGCCTAAAGTAGTTATTTTATTGTCTTTAAATCTCTACTTTCTTTCTTGGTAACTTCTTAGTAGCATTGCTGAAGGTGATGAGAAAAAGTGGAGACCACATTATGTAAACTAACATGTATTGACATGTTCTTATTAAGGAGAACTTCAGTTTTGATTAAAAAGATGAGACTTTGTAAGATGAAGGAGGAGGAGGAAGAGGAAAAGGAGAAGACACAAACTTAAAATAAATGTTACAGAAAACAAGGGACTATAGAGGAAGGTCTAATCCCTCCTGGCCAAACTAGTGCAGTGGGGCTTTATTAATTATAAATCATCTTGAGCCTGAATCAAAGCTATACATGCAGTATTGAATGACCAAGTCCGAAGTGTTATCTCGCATAGCATTGACCACCTCTCTTTATCTCTGATTCCGTCATTCCTCCAGCCAGCGTCATCTGACCAAACACGTTCATCAACGGCCGTTCCGTGAGATAACGATCGTCCAACACTAAAACATGGCTACCATTCCAACGGGTTCTATCTTGGCAGCGCAGAGGTGTCGCCAGGTGCAGCAGCATCAGAGGATGGCGTCGCTGAGGTCCGAGCCAATCCCCATCGGAGGGTCACCCATCACGTCTCCAGACTGCACCCCTCCAGCCAGCCCTAGAAAACAAGGTATGAGGAATATTTTCTGACCTTTTAATTTTCTGTCCTTAAGTATTAAAGTTATCTGAAAGGTCTTCAGGGGCATTGGTGGACAGGGTGTGCTTGGGTTAGGCTCCCCCCCCCCCTCCCCAATACACAAACACAAAGACCCATTTAGAACTTTAACAGGCTGTCTGCAAATCTTGAAAAAGAAAAAAAAAGTGATTATTTTGTTTCCTTCTTTATGGAAAAAATGGAAGATCTAGCCTTTAGGAAACTTCAGCTAACTTGTCTTTGAATGTAGTCAGACAACCCAACCCCTCCCCCCTTTCTATTCAAACTAGCCTTTATAAATAATATGAACCAAGGGAAGTAAATAATGCCTTGTTTGTACAAAAGAACAGAGCTGTCTCTATCGACACTGATCAAGAACCTCTACAGTATCCGCATGTCTATGTAAAAACAAGTGTGATTATCATACTTTCCATATTTTAAACCGTTGACAATTTATTAATGAACAATTCAACTACATAAGGATGCTTTTAATGTGCTCAATCAAAACTGTCCAAAAGGTACGGGTGGTCTACAAATGCATGTACACGAAGCTCCGAAAAACGAAACGTGGTACGTGTCCATATGTCTTTGTCTATGATCGTTTCAAATGGGTGCATGTGTCTACATGTATGTGCAGGAGAGAGAGAGAGAGAGAGAGGAGTGTTTGCCTGTTTTGGCTTGGCATACAAAACATTCAGAAAAGTAATGTTCCTTTTTGTCAAAAATAATGCGACACAAAGGTCACAATGAAAGGAATAGGGAGTTTTGCAACAGATATTTTTGTTCTGCGTGACTAACATGACACAAAGTATGCACTACTACAGTGTTCATGTTCAGTAGTGTGCATTACATACTGTTACCTTCTGTACATGGTCTAATTGTCTTATTGTTATCGGAGATAACGATCAACTCATTCGCTACAACTTCCTTGATGTGTTATTTTCAATCGGATTAGATTTCACAAGGCCTACAGGTGCAAGGCTCTCGGCAAATGATATGAAATTTACCTTGTGCACTGAACTTGTTAATCAAAGCAAGTAGACATAACATGAAAATATTTACAGAACAATTTGTTTATTCACATTGTGTACCAGACAAACACAGTATCTGATGTCACACAAAACAAATACATGTACAGTGATATAAAGAATACTCCAGGCAAAACTCAAAGGAGTTATGAAGTTAAGTCTTTTTAAACAGGTGGTCATTGTGATGATGGTGATGGTGATGATGATGATGATGATGATGACGACGACGGTGGTGGTGGTGGTGGTGGTGGTGGTGGTGGTGGTGGTGGTGGTGGTGGTGGTGATGATGGCTTCTGTTATAGCACCAGTATCCACCTTTGTTGGGTGTTTGTGACACTTTCTCAAGAATATATAAGTTACTTGAGTACAAAAGTTTCAATGAGAAACACTATTCAAGGGGAAAAGAGGTCTTTATAGATGGGTGGACATTCTATACAGGATGTTGCTGAAGTGCTTTTTCTCTGGTACTGTGATTTGGTGTCTATTTTCGACAGTTTATCATATATTCTGTGTAGAGTTGAAATAAAAAGAGAAAAGTTTAATGCCATGCACTTTTCAGACTGCAAAGACTAAACATCACCTTTATGAAAAACAAAGCAGGTTTAACTTTGTCAAACATGCCTCCCCTGCATGCATTGTGCGTGAATTAATTTGCAGGAGCCTGGGAGGGTCAAAGTCACGACCCCAATAGTGGGTTGACTTGCCTAGAAACCTCAGGGGTGGTATTCTGAACATTGTTGTAAGTTTTGTGTTATCTTTTGTTGTATCTTCCAGAGATAACACAGCGCTAATATTGTTGTAAGTTGGTATTCTGAACATTGTTTTATCCCTGTGTTATCTCTTGAAGGACCGCCTCTATCTTATCTTTGACCACTGTTGACACGCCCATTTGTATGGACCCTACCAATCAAAATCTGTTTTATATAAGCATGATAAGTAGGTCAGCCAATAGGAATACTTTATGCCATATCTGAAGATGCGCCTAGCGCATACTAAACATGGGCGTAATTAGTTATTTGAGCGCTTATTACGCGCGTCATCATAATGCGCTGTGGCATGTGGATCATGAAGACAAATCACGCTTTCACTATATTGGTTTAAGATGAGAGCATTAAAATCGTCATATCCTAGCATGTAATTTCTTTTAAATTCTCATCTGTGATGTTTCCGGGCAACACACAATCTTTTTCTAACTCGTCTATTGGCACGGAGTTGGTTCTGGGCAAGAAATATTGCTGCCATTATATCACTACGAAAGATACAACAACCCCCTACCTGTTGTAAATATTGTTGTAAATACGATGCAAGATAAGATAAGATAAAAGATACAACAACTTTCAGAATACCAATTATCTCGACATATTATCTCTCGTGCGCATATGCAAATGAGGATTAAACGCCACTTTATTAATAATACGCACAATTACAAGCGCACCAAACTATGAGCGCAGGCGCGGCCAATGAGATAAGAGTAAAGATACAACAAAAGATAACACAAAAGTTACAACAGTGTTCAGAATACCAACTTTATCTTATCTCCGAAGATACAACAATATTAGAGATAACACAGGGTTCAGAATACCGCCCCAGGCTTGGAAACATGCAACACTTTATCAGATCAGCCGATATAACAGCTGTACGAGACTCTGCAGGGTTCATCGTTCCTACCACGTGCACTCTTGTTACATTTTGTGCATTGTGGAAATATTGAATGTATTTGTGTAGAAATTTATGTCAATCCATTCCTTACCAGATACTTTCTATAACCTTTTTTTTTTGGGGGGGGGGGTCCATTCAATTTCAACAGCCATTACCTAAAGTTAACAGTATTTGAATTCTGTTTCTTGACTTTTAAAACAATACATTGACTATCATCTGCATACAATAAACAGTTTACTAACTTTTTATTAAAATTTTAACCATACATTTTAGTCTTTCTGGATCTGTATCAATGGTTCAATATCGTATTTCAATTGCAGGAGTCAACATATGCATCATATACATTTGCACGCTGACATGTATGACAATATTACCTACATGTAAATGTATTACCAGTACTGTGTACTACTGTACTTATTCTGTTGGTCACAGCATCTTTTATTCAGTGACACTGGCGTGCATACAATGATGCAGCAACCAGTCTGCATGCGACCACATAATTTACCTCACAATTTATCGCAAATTCCTGACGGTAGAGCCTCTGGAATACGTAATGAATGTGGATTGAGCTCGTATCCTCGGCTGCCCACAAGAAGGCCATATGTCTGCCATTGACAATCCATAGCTGCATGTTGCAGCCTACTTGCGGAGCAGCCAAACATATGTTCTAAATCAGATCACTTTTAGAGTGGTAATTAACTGCATCCATGTACAGCCAACTCTGTTACACAATTCTGAATACAATTATATGAATCTTCGATTAATGGTTACCAGACCTGCCAACCAGTACGATTTAGTCGTATTTTGTACAATTTTTAGAAACAAATACGACAGTACGATTTTCCTCAATAAAATACGATTTTCAAAAACAAAAAAAAAGATTTTTTTTTTGTGAGTTCCATTTCCAATGGTAAAATGCCCAATTTGTCCTGAAAAGTATCCTACAAGCATCTCACATTGGCAATTTGGAAATGTTCATTGGTTCTTTGAACACACCAGTCTTGACGAAATCATGCATATTCAACCAATGATCCATACAAAAAATTCTTCCTGTATGTACGAACTGTAAGAGGCATTGATCCACGTAACAGTCCGCGTTTTTTTTTAAAGAATACAACTTTTGGCAGTAAAATACAACTTTTGAGATTAAAGAATACAGTTTTTGAACTCCAGAGGTTGGCAGGTCTGGGTTACCTGATGCCAAAAAGTACTTTGCAGATATTTGCAATACAACACATGTTATGTCTCTTCTTTATTAGATCACTTTTAGAGCGGTATAATCTGCATACATGTACTGTACAGCCAACTCCATTACACTATTTTGAATACAATATATATGAATCTTTTCTGAATGGGTACCTGATACCAAAAAATACTTTGTAGATGTAATTGCAATACAACATGTGTAATACAGTACAGTTTGCAGACCTGATAAAAACCCAATTTAAATTGGTTTCCCGATTTTTAAAAAAAAATTCCCGATTTTTTCCCGATTTTTTTTTTCTTCCCGATTTAAAAAAAAAAAAAAAAAATCCAGGTGTTTTTTTTGTTTGTTTTTTTCTTCCCTATTTTATCCTGATTTTCCCTATTTCCCTCTTATTTTCTCTATTCTTCCCTATTTTGCCCTATTTTCCCCTCAATTTTGTCTCTATTTTCTTACTCGAAATGGGGGGAATGTTGTTAGATGCCATATTTTCCCAGCGAATTCTCTTTTCTTTTTTTTACTCAAGGGGGGCGTGGTTGAGGGGAAAACAAAAAACCTATTTTTTTTTTTTAGTGCTCACTATCACCCCTGAGTATGTCTTAAGTTTGGCTCATCAACATTTTCATTTCAGTGCGGGAAATGTAGGCCAATATATCAAATTCACAAGCAATTGTGTGTGTCATCATAATATATTGCGCAACAATTGAATTGAGCACAGATTGAAATGATTGTACTTTATCAGATCACTGTTAGAGCGGTAACTGCATAAAAGTACAGCCAACCTCGTTACACCATTCTGAAAACAATATGAATACCTGCCAAAAAGTACTTTGTAGATATCTGCAATACAACTCGTATGTTATGGCTTTAGTTTGGCTCATCAACATTTTCATTTGGTTGTAGGGGGGGGGGGGATATTGTAGGAATGTAGGCCAATAGATCAAATTCATGTAAGCAATCTGTGCGTCATCAGAATATATTTTGCTTGCAACAATTTAAGTTGCAAATTGAAAAGAATTTAGCACAGATTGAAATGATTGTCTTCTCTAGCTGTACAATCAGACGCACTTGTATATTTAATGCAAGTCTGCATACTGTACATGTTTGTGTGTCATCAGAATATGTTCTGCATACATATTTCAATCAAATTAAAGGTCACATAGTATAGTGTTTCTTAAAATATATCAAATCGAATTGAAATGGTATTACAAAATCACATGCATAGCCCCAGATCTAAATCATAATCAAATTTTCAACGTGAGAGATACTTTATAAGTAATCATACCAATCACAACAAAATAATGATTCAAATACTTTGGTCTTCTAGTGGAAAGGCGGGGGGGGGGGGGGGGGGGGGGAGGCTAAAGAAGTGACATGAAAATGATACAAGAGATACTTAAGAATAGAATAGAGTGTACATGTGTAAGTGAGCAAAATATTAATGATTTTGAATTGAATTGAAATAAATATGAAAGATTTACATCAGCTGAAGAAACTAATATCATATATCGATCTACATGTATTGTAAGAATTAAAAAAAAAACTGTTTACGGAACATAAATTTGTTTTCTTTCAAAAAGTGGTGCAATGTACAGTTGTATGTGACTTTGTCTGTATTTGCGCAATATAAACCACTCGATTGAACCACTCAATTGATTAAGTCAACAGGCACGTGTGCAAGCCTGCACGTAGCGTATGCTCCCTTCAGACTAGCATAATTCATCGTACATTTGTACAAAAATTGTGTGGCTATACAATAAAAAAAAAATTAGAGTCGGAATGTCATCTATTCAACAAAACCTTGCATAATGAAGCACCATATCAATGTAGCTAAACCGATTGTTTTGAATGAAAGTTGAGAATCCGGGTTTAAGTATGTAAAACAGTACATGTACAAGTACATGTATAACTTGGGGGGGGGGGGGGGGGGGTCTATCAAGAACACACCTGATTGGCCAGCTGTCGTGTCAACTGGCCTCTTCACATCTGGTTTCATTGTACGATGTTGCTTTATACATTTTCATTTATTCATGTCCCTCTCACTATACGATGATTCTTTATACAAGTTTTGTATAAATTTTCACCATGTGTGAACAGTCTATACAAGGTAATTGACACCTGGAATATAAAAAACTTGAGACGTACCATGTGGAAAAAGTTCGCATTGTTGACAAAGTCAACAATATTAGATGAGGACATCAAAAGCGCTTATAAATGAAGAGTTACAATCGATTAAGCCATTAAAAAAACATTCAAAGTCCATGGTACTGCATTGAACTCAAGTGCATGATTGTTGGTTAAAGGAAACCTTGATTTTGTAGTTATCAGTAATGTCATGACTTTGTTCAAGTTTGTTGGTAGTTATTTTGTCTGACAATAAAATTGGTTAAAAGAAATTTCCTGATTCCCCAGCCTTACTCTCTCTCTCTCTCTCAAAATTCGCTAACATCTGTTTTTCTTTCTGATGCCATGGGGTAATTCTTCCTCTGTATGATCTTGAGATATGGGCAAACAGTTCATATTCTTACCATGCAATGCAAAGCCAAGAAATTGCATAGAATTTGTAAATGTACCTGTATATTGTGTAGTATTTAAAGTTAATGTATAACCTTTTCTTTTCTACTTTGCTTCTCTCTGACCTTACAGAGTCTCATCTGAGTGCAATGAACTCACTGGCCAAGCTCTCCCAGCTGCTCCACCCTCGCTCCATGTCCCAGGAGGGTGAGATAGGGGGCACCCCTGGCAGCCCGAGCTTGGGATCATCCCGCTCCAAGTTCTCCCAGTTCTTTCACTACCGCTCCATATCTAACGAGAGTGATGTCACATCCCCTCCCGCCAGCCCTGGCCTGGACGCTTCGCACTCTAACCTCTCACCCCTGATGCACCACCAGGTCACCGAGGTCGGGGTGTCTGCCAGCGGTCAGACCCAGAGCCTGGAGGCGTCCCACCACACCTCCTCCATCACCTCCATGACGTAAAGCGAAGAGCGCCATCAGCATACCAAACCCAACCAACCACGTCGTGCCGCCCGCCACGATCAGAATACCCACGGAGCTTTTTTTTTTCTTGTGAAATTGAAAAGAAATCTAGGTATTTTTTGCAATATCAAGAATGCTAAAAGATATTTCCCTAGGAATACCACTTTGTGGTGCTTTGTATAATTGAATACAGAATCTCCCCTTTGGGCGTGGTTTGCTAGATGTAATCTTATTGTGTGTTTTCTATGTAAATCTATATATAATTGAATATATGGTATATGCTATGTAGAGTTGATCTGCACTCAAAACCTGTGCCGTCGCTGTGCTATTCTGGAATGGTATGAGAGCCTACAGCCCCTCTGCTCTCTGTAGTAATTGGGGGCAGACTGGTACTATTAACGAAAGTTTGTTCACTGAGTGACCTATCAATTGCTTGAGACATTACCAAGCCCCACCCCTCTCCAGAGTCCAGTGAAAGTGTAATCAAAATGCTATGAATTCTCCAACCCTCGAAAAGGAGCCACATCTGTCGCTATGTGCTGTCTCTATTAAAGATCTTGATTATTAAGCTGCTTTTAGTAAGGAAATGTTTCAGGGCCAAGTAAACGTTTGGGCTCGTGCATGGTGGGGTCACTCATAACAAACAAAATTATCATTCTTTTACATATATATTCCATTGTATCATGTTCTTTATCATTCAGTTTTCTAAAGAAAGATTTTCTCTTTTTAAATCGTGAATAAAATCTCAGAAATTGTCGTAAACATGCGAGTGCATGGATATTGTAAATGTGGTGTGAATTGATAAAAGAGTTGTGAAATTCATTCTACTTTACTTATTCAAAAGGTGAAGCTAATGTTATGTTTTCATTATCAAGAAAAAACTTTTTGTTAGAGTGAGTGAATAAGGTTAAAATATCCCACGAAGCTAAGATAGATTTCGTGGGTATGAATCCAAAGATTTAACATTCTGCATTCCACATGGCTGTGACCATTAAAATGTTAAAACTTTATTGTATGTTCGAAGATCAATTTTGAAATGTTTGGAAATGACTAGTTTGTGATATGAAATGCAGAAAGAGGTATAGATTTGATATTCTTAAGGAAAAGAATTATAGATAAATAAAGGTCACCATGTGAATGTACTACTATATTTCACCTTCACTCATAATGAATACGTAATAGTTGAAAGTGATAAGGGCATCGCATGAAGGAGATTGTGAAGTGTTCTTCTATACAGCCATTGTCCAGGATGCCTCTTCTAAAAAGTCTAGGCAACCTGTTCTGCAAAAAATGTCCAATACAAGACCCAAATTTCAATAACCGAGCAGATTCAAATTCTTGTTGATGGAATGTCCATCAGTGCAAGATTTCACATACGTTATGCTCACTAAGGGGAGTTTTAAAGACTTTCTTTGAAGAAAAAAAAAGTTATTTTCCTGAGGGCAATTTTCATATATATTTTTATCAGAGTTAAATTGCTCCCAGTTCTGTACATTCTCTGGTCTCATCAACAGAAAAGCTTGCATGAATTCTTCAAGCACACTACCATTTATTATTCACATGCGATGCCCATATCTCTATTTAACCCATTACCTATGGGAAACAGATATTTTGTATTAAGCCTATGGAGGTATGAAGATTCAGTAATTGATGGGTTAGTAAATTTTAACATGAAAGAAATCGAAAAAAAATTGAAGACAGTATTTTTGAAATCACAGTATTGTTTACAATATATCAAATATAGATGAATATATAGATAGAATTTATTTTTTTCAGTGTTCTGAATCTGCTGATTTGAAATAGAAAGATAGAATGACTATATTTTCTTTGAAAAGGATTTTCAGTGTGCATGTGACTTCAAGCAAGACTGGGCCAATTTCTTATTTTGGAGGGTATATTGATGATTCCAAAATGCACAGTATACACCAATAGTACTTATGTGGTCCTACATTGCAAAATCTCCTTGGTACTACATCATCAGCCTTTTTGAATATCTTCCACACTAATCCCAAAATTATCCTTAATGCCCTTCTTTCTTTTTTATTGGGATGAAGTCCCCTGAAGAATTATAGGATTGTGCCAAATCTCGGGGATGATCTGACAATACCGTACTGCCAATGCTTATGTTGTTCACAATTTCATTTTAATCAGGAAAATGAGGGACACAAAATGACAAAATACATCAGACTTGCCCACTGAACCAAAAAAGAAGATTCATCATGACATTTTGAATGTAAATTAACCTTAAGGGTAGATGTAATATAGAATACATAATTGACATTGCTGATATTTAGAAATTCCAACCAGGGCAATAAGCCAGTTTCGTAATGTAACCAAATTTAATGCATACGTCTTTGTGAAGTGCCTCAATACAAATTATTTCATTCACCTGATAAGAATAATAGTATTTCAATAGTCAGAATGCAACTGCATATATTAAGTGTTGCTAGGTAGGTCAAGCCATAATGTTTGTCCAACCTGGCAACAACTTAATATATGCAGTTGCATTCTGACTATTGAAATACTATTATTCTTATCAGGTGAATGAAATAATTTGTATTGAGGCACTTCACAAAGACGTATGCATTAAATTTGGTTACATTACGAAACTGGCTTATTGGTTTACATATAGCCTCGGTCACAAATGCCATTACGAACGCCGTACAAACAATTTTCTGACAATGGAAATTCGGAAGACAATGAAACGGAGATTCGTACGAAATTATTGTTCGTACAAACCTTTGTGACCGTAGCATATGATAAAACTTTTTTTAATCGTACATTATAAGTAATATATGCGTCACAACTATTTGTTTTAAGGGGAGTGTATGGTGATGGAAATAATCTGTTTAAACTGGAAAGCAAAAGGGGTAGTCGAAAAAAAATAGTCCCAAACTAGTCGAAAATAGTGAAAAGTAGGATACCAGTAAGTTTCTTTAATAATCATACTACAGTCTAACAAGTGTTGTAAAGATCACTCATAGGAGATACCTGATAAGAAGGGCCTCAAAAGGCTGGTGGTCTTTATGTACAGGTTCCTTTAGTACATGTTTCAATGTAATGTACACTATTCAAAGGGAAAAGGAAAGTGGTCTTTCTATACAGGTAGTCACTAAAAAGGAGATTACACTCTGTGTAACCAGTGGTGATACCCCAAGTCTAAAGATATATATGTATATTATTTTCAGTTATCTTTTATTTATGAAATGTCAGCTGTCGCCAAGCAATAGAACTTATTGGAAATATCTATTACTTTATTGGAAATTAACATTTTTTTCCCCCTGAAATATATGCTGCCAAATTTATGAACGGATTACATATGTCAACTTTAGTATAACTAACATATTTAAGGTGCTGGGTCCTAACCTTTAGTATTATCGCCAGGTTGTCATTTATCGGTATTAATGTTTTCCTTTGAATGGTGCACGTGAGATATATTTTAACGGCAAGTCCAGGAAGTAAATCGGTATCATCGACCAAGCGTTGCAAAGACAAAAGAGTCATTAGGGGACTTGTGTGCTATTTAATATTTGTTTATTGGGAGGGAGATTCATGATTTTCTTTGAAGTTTTGTATGGAATATTTTATAGGGAAAGGATGTAGGTAGACATGTAGTCATGCATGAATTGTTTTCTTGTCTCTGATCTCTGAATTTGAAGATGTTTTGTTTTTTTATCCGACATTTTGTTGATACAATGCGAGCTTTGATCATTCTCTGTATGTTTTTTTTTTCTGGTCTTTTCCTTCTTTTCATGCCAAAGAGATGAAAATAAAAGTTTTAAATATGCTGAGGATTTAAAAAGATAACAAACAACTTGTGATTGGATTTACTTATTGACATCTTTGTAATTCAGGTTATCTGTAGTATGTAACATCAACGGTGATGATGAAGATGATGAAGATGATGATGATGATGAAGGTGGTGGTGGTGGTGGTGGTGGTGGTGGTGGTGGTGGTGGTGGTGGTGGTGGTGGTGGTGGTGGTGGTGGTGGTGGTGGTGGTGGTGGTGGTGGTGGTGGTGGTGGTGGTGGTGGTGGTGGTGGTGGTGGTGGTGGTGGTGGTGGTGGTGGTGGTGGTGGTGGTGGTGGTGGTGGTGGTGGTGGTGGTGGTGGTGGTGGTGGTGGTGGTGGTGGTGGTGGTGGTGGTGGTGGTGGTGGTGGTGGTGGTGGTGGTGGTGGTGGTGGTGGTGGTGGTGGTGGTGGTGGTGGTGGTGGTGGTGGTGGTGGTGGTGGTGGTGGTGGTGGTGGTGGTGGTGGTGGTGGTGGTGGTGGTGGTGGTGGTGGTGGTGGTGGTGGTGGTGGTGGTGGTGGTGGTGGTGGTGGTGGTGGTGGTGGTGGTGGTGGTGGTGGTGGTGGTGTGGTGGTGGTGGTGGTGGTGGTGGTGGTGGTGGTGGTGGTGGTGGTGGTGGTGGTGGTGGTGGTGGTGGTGGTGGTGGTGGTGGTGGTGGTGGTGGTGGGGTGGTGGTGGTGGTGGTGGTGGTGGTGGTGGTGGTGGTGGTGGTGGTGGTGGTGGTGGTGGTGGTGGTGGTGGTGGTGGTGGTGGTGGTGGTGGTGGTGGTGGTGGTGGGGTGGATTTGTGATAATGATAACAATAAAAAATGAATTCATGTTCCCTCTGGTACAGAATATACATAGATTTATAATGATTATGATGATGGTGATAGATGATGATGAATGGTTGCTTATGTAACAAATCGGATCAATCAGTTTTAAGGTTGAAACAATCACTAAATCTTGGCACAAAGAATGAAAGGCTCTGTCTCCCTCTCTCTCTCTCTCTCTATCATCCCTCTCTCTCTTTCTATCTCCCCTCTTTTTTTCTCTCTCCTTCTCTATCACCCCCCCCCCCTCTCTCTCTCTCTCTCTGCCCCCTCCCCCTCTCTCTAACTCGTCCATGTACATTCATCTTGCACTCTACTTCAACTTCCAATTCCCTACATTATGCTCCACAAAATAAGATTTGTGTGAATTATTTAAAGATATTGGCTAAATAAAAGACATTCCATACAAAGAAGCTCACTGTTACATAATGATTTAATAAGAATTGAATAGAACAGGAGCATTCCTTTCCAAGTTCGTTTAGCCTCAAGTAAGATCAAATCATGTGTATACAGAAATATCTTGCAGTTGGGTATGTTGCCCCCCCCCCCCCCCCCCCAAAAAAAAAAAAAAATTCAAACTACGCATGACCATAACATTTCTTTTTACAAATAAATCATTTCATCTTGCAAGGGTAGCAATATCCCCAACTTTTCCATTACATTTTTTCTTCTCATCTCCCAATCTACATGTATATATTGTAAAATTCAACGAGAAATAAAGCAAGATATTTTATGTTTTATATTTCATATTTTACAGCTACAAAGGCAGAAATATCATAAGTTAACAAATAAATGTATAAATTCAATCTTACCCAACTTCAAAACTGTTGTGTTGCGAACATGTAATGTTGAATGGCCGTAAATCATCTTTAGAAACAAGGACTTGGGAATGTGATTTTTTTTTTCTTCTCTAAACCAAAATTTATTTGTAAAAGTAGTAATGAAAGAAAGTGAAAGCCATATCCAGACCACAGGAAAGTGATGTATCTGTCACCGGATAAAGTGAGTGATGTCACTGGTAACAATTTTGTTTGTTTCTTTGTTTTTCATACATATAATTTGATTTGTATCCTCATTTCCCCATGGAATAATAATGATAATAATAATCTCTAAGCGCTTTACAGATATTATTACCATCTGATTCATACATAGAGGTGTTGTGGTCGAGTGGATACGTCGCCGGACTGTCGATCACAAGGTCCGCGGTTCGAGTCCCGCCGCTGCACTAATGTCCTTTGGCAAGACATTGATCTACATTTGCCACACTCCACCCAGGTGAAGTAAATGGGTACCTGGTAGGAATATATTCCTTGAAACGCAGCGCGCGTAACAGCTGCACTGCTAAAGCCAGGGTAATTATGCTGCATTATTGTAGAGCGCTTAGAGACTTCTGACAAAGTAAGTGTTAGGCGCTATATAAGCACTGTAATTATTATTACATACACAATGTGCATCATCTCTACTCCCTGGGGAGTATTCCTATTTCCTACCATAAGGTCACCGGGAAGGCATAGGCAATCACTAACACAAAGGTCATCCTACTAGATCCCTGTTTCTCTCATGGGTATGGAGTGGCAAATATAGATTAATGCCTTGCCAAAGAACATTAGTGCCGTATTGGGGATAGAACCCATGACCTTTGAATTTCAAGTGAAGCGCTTACACCACTCGACCTTGACCCTCCGTCAACAAATTTAACACTAAATTTAACAACAAGCGTAATCTTATACAACCCATCAAGTAGAAAATGAGTCTGTTTTGTGTACAAAACAAATGGTAAAGTTGTTTTATCTGGATTGCACATGTACAAGACACTGCAGAATGGGTCAACATAATTATATATTCTCATTATCCCTATCCCTGAATACAAGTATTCTGGAAAATAATCTTTGTTGTCACAAGACAGATTTCATCGTATGGCATGTCCTCGGTCAGAAGGTGTGAAAATCTTTATCGATATATTCTCAAAGTGCATCTCTTCAGGTGCAAAACTACACCAACCGATACATACATTATTTCCAAAATGAAGGAATTCACACTTCACTAGCTCTTAAAGGTAATACAAAGTTTTGGGAAATTTTGAAAATTGGTTGATAGCGATTCCTTACAATTTTGATATATTTGAATGCCCCGATGGATGTATTATAAGAACTAGAAAATTTAGCACCTAAAACACTTCTGTTTTGGAGAAAAATTGAATATAAAATTTTACTGGTGCTCCCGGTAAATTTTGAAAGATTTCAAATGGCGCCTACGACCGTACAATGGTAGCTGCGACCATGAAATTCTCAGAATATGCACTTGTGATATATAATTTCCAAACGGCTAATCAGTCGATTTTAGCCAAGAAACATTGTTTTATAGCTTAATTAATATCTTGACCTTGAGAGGGAGCTATACAAGATAAAAAGTTTATTCTTTACAATTTCATAACTTTAGACTCGATTTCAACCGCGACAACAATCACTGCATATTGAAGGATTGCATATGTTTCCAGTATGTTCATTGGAACCAAATCCATGACTCCATACCAAAATTTTGTATTACCTTTAATAAAGGCTCAATAATCACCCTGTACAGGTATTTCACATTTATGGCTAGGAAAATGAAAAACACAGAACAGACAAATTTGGTCATGCACTTTTGAATCTCAATGTAGATGTAAGGAAATCTGAGAAAGAACTTACAACCTGTGCAAATATTGTGGATCCCCATAACAGAGAATTCAAAATTCCTCCTTATTTTGGAGTTATGGGACAAATGGATCAGTTATGATAGAGATTTCTCTCTCTTGTACTTAGAGCTGTCTCATAAAACTTGTTATTAATAACAAGTTGCCAATAACTGTTATAAGTTACGGAAATTGATGCATTTGTTTATGTTTTATGTTAGAGGGCCCAGATCTCATTAAGGGGGAAGTCGGTCCATCATAATTTCATGGTCATTTCAATAAAATGCAGATAGATGAGAAAAATGGTCATTGGAAGGGTGAATTAAAATATTGTACAGAATAAGAAAATACTGATTTCTTTATCAAAATAAATTTAGAATATAACTACATTAATTGCCAACTCTATGGTTTCCTTTACAAGCTACTCTTCATTTGTACTAAAGATTTCATCAAATTTTCTTTTTTCTCAACAAAAATTGTATTTTGCAAACCTGTACCATAATTATATCATTGTAAGCATGTTCCTTTCAATCCTTTAGGAAGTTTATATTGTATGATCAAAACTAAGAATTTTGATATGTTGAACATTTTCCAGACAAGAGAAAATCGAAAGGTGCTCGAAGAGGGAATGATGGGCCTGCCAATTTGAAAAAAGATGGTCAAAATTTGAACATTTCATATTTCCCAACATATATTTATCAACTTTCAATAACCCATTTCTCTAATTGATGTCATGGTTGTGGTGGATTTCCCAATTATATCAAGAGAAAAGGAAAAGTAGGCCGACAATTACCTACAGACAATACAACTAAATAATTCTGCTGAATATAATAATATGGTTATTTATATAGCCCCAGTATGCGTCAGGTTCTGACGCTCATGGCGCTTCACACATATTACCCTGGTCGCAGCCGAGCTGCCATAGTAACTAGCGCTCAAGCATATCAGGTACCCATTTACACCTGGGTGGAGAGTGGCAAATGTAGATTAATGTCTTGCCAAAGGACATTAGTGCCGCGGCAGGACTTGAACCCTGTACCTTGTGATCTGCAGTCGGGTGACTTATCCACTAGTCCACAACACCTCTACCACAACACCTATGCTACTGATACATCTACATGTATCACTCCATTCCCGCTGCTTCCTCCCCACCCTCTTCATCGGCGCCCTCATTGCCTCCGATGTGAAAGTCTTCAAGCATCTCCTGGAGACTGATCTGTGGAGCAGCATCCTCGTCACTGCTCTCCACTGCGATGTTCTTGCTTCGATCTGCAACAGATTTAAATAGACTTCAATTAACCCATAGTATTTTCCAAAGGTCTACATGAATTAGCCTTTCCAACTCAAATTGGCAACGATTATTCATATTTTTCACTCTTTTACATTTCAGAAAAATAAAAAATGCAATTCAGAATTTTCCAAAGGTCTATAAATTAATCTGTTGTTCCTCCTCAACTTGGCAATGATTATTTATATTTTCCACATTTTACATTTCAGAAAAATAAAAAATGCATATTAAATGAAACAGTGTGAATGAATACTAACAAAAAACATCAACAAGCAACTGCCAATTTTCTAAAGGTCTGTAAATGAATCAGTTGTTCCTCCTCAAATTGGCGATGATTAAATATTTTCCACTCTTTCATAGTGCAGAAAAATAAAAATGCTTACGAAATGAAACAAAGTGAATGAATACTAACAAATAAACATCAACAAGCAGTTGCCAATTTTGATTTACCAAGTTGATATAAATGAATCAGTTGTTCCTCCTCAAATTGGCAATGATTAATACAATTTTTCACTCTTTTGTGGTTCAGAAAAATGAAAATGCATATTAACTGAGAGGGTGTGAATGAAACACTAACAAAAAAACATCATCAATCAAGCAATTGCCAATGTTTCTACAAAAAAAAAATAGTGATTATGAATTTTACTCTACCTTGCCAATTTAAAGGGCTTCAGTGATTGTTTTGGCCAGGTTTACTATTTAATTTTGATTTATGCACGTTTCTCTCCCTCTAACCCCTGGTTGCCAACCACTTCATGCAGCTGCTATGAATAATGGATGGGTTCACCGAGCATACATTATTTGTTGCTATGTCAGGCAAAGCCTTTTGGTTCTCAAGAGAGAAAAGACATCATTAAAAAGGTATATTATCTGATGCCATGGTAGACCCTACCCCCATCTAATTGGTAAAATGTTGGTATATGGGGCAACTGACAAATACTGAATTTCTTTTCATGAGATAAATGTATTTGTATCATTTCGAATAATAAAGAAACCTTCATGGAAAGCCCCGCATATAACCTTTGTAAATATAGTTCAAATTTACTGTTACCTTGTATACTTTGATTTTTATATTGGGAAATAAAATAAATTGAATTGAATTGAATTGAATTGATTTTGTTGTTTCCTTTTATTCATTCCGCTGCTCCATGCGAAAAAAGATAAATAGGTAAAAATTCATGGGTTTCTTACCAACATAAATGTTGATGTTTTTCCTGTAATCGCCATCCTCCTCCAAGTCTTCAAGGAAGCCCATGTAGTCCCTTTCGGCGGCGTTCTCATGCAGGGCGACCTCTTTGGTCATCGTCTTCAGCTTCCAGTTGCGCTTGCGATGTCGACGACTACGGTCACCAAAGTATTTCTTGACTATGACCACGTCTGGAAGAGTCTCAGCTTTCATCTGCAAGATAAGAAAATGAGTTCAATAAAAAGAGGTTTTTGGGGAGGTCCTATAGTCTAGTGTGGAGGAAGATGTGTATGCATGCAAGCTTGTATAATAGCTCGTTATTTAAAAAAAAAATAATAATAATTTATTCAAACATATTTATTCAGGATGAAATGATCGGTTGTGACGCACCGTTCTACATCTTGGTCCTGTTTAAAGCCCCACTGTACTACTTAGAGCTACTTGCGCCCTCTATATAGCAAACAATGCCTAATCGGTGCATGTTGGTCCCCCATGATCCTCTTTTTCTTATGTTAATTGAGAGCTGATTTGATGAAATAACCACCTGTCAGTGACCTTGCAGGGAGGTCTCATCCCCCTGGCCAAACTAGTACAGACGCCCTTTAAATAACCTGAGCATATCAACAAAATGGTAAACTTAATACAGTTCTAATAAGAAAAACAAGAGGAATCGGCAACACACAAAGACCATTATTTCAAATAAATGGTTTAGAAATGGTCTTTTCACATCTAAGGATCTAGGAGTTTCCTTGTATTAAAAAAGATGCATGCATTACAGGATCTATCCACTCTTGTTGAGGCTGTTCATGCACCTATCATCCTTGACCTGAAGACTTTGTACAATAAATGTATAGAGCATCGATTCAAGATCGTATAATAGGTTGTATAAAGACCTCGGTCGCATGCATTTTTGTAATAACAACATGAAGAAGAAAACAATGTCGCTACCTGAAGTTTTCATTACAGTGGTCCGGTTACATGGAATAGGTTACATTGTGAATTACGATTTAGTATGTCAGTTGAAGTATTTAAGAAACATCTCAAAACACACCTATTTACATTGTGATTAACTGCATTACATTTTTTATCATATTTTTGTTGAGTTTTAATTCATTGATTTATTTGTTTTGTAAAGCACTTTGATCAGTTCTAAATACGATATAGCGCTATAAAAAAAAACAATTTATTATCATTATTACCTGTTCTAGAGCTTTGTTGTTGACGTTAGAATTGACCAGATCAAGACCCTTGACGGTGTCTCCTGCAGAGAGTAGATGGCCGAGGAAGGTCCGACAGTGATACTGAGTGTCCACCACGCCCATGTCTTGGCTTCGCATCAACCAGACATCTGCTAGGAGATGCTAGAGAGATCATATAGATGGAAGGATAGTCAATTCATAGTACTCTGTAAATGTTAATAGGTGTTTACAATTTTTAAAGGTGTCAAACAGAATTTCATAAGTGTGGAGTGCATCAGTTCAATGAGAAAATACACAGCTATGATCATTATGCTAAGAGATTTGTTTGTGTCTATATGATTTTTTTTGTATGCATCACTAGTAGTATGTCTTCTAGTGACATCATCATCGTCATCTTCATTATTGTTTTCATTATCATAAAAAAATCACTAACATCATCATTACCATCACCATCATCATCATTAACATCACCATCATCATCATCATCATCATCATCATCATCATCATCATCATCATCATCATCATCGTCAACATCATCATCACCATCACCACCACCACCATCACCAACACCATCATCATCACCATCAATGATCATCATCATCACCAACACCAAAACCACCACAACCACCACCAACATTATTAACACCACCACCACCACCCTCACCACCACCACCAACAGCAACACCATCACCATATCATCATCCACACCACAAACAACAACAACACCACCACCACCACCACCACCACCACCACCACCACCACCACCATTACCATTATCATTACCATCATCATATCCACACCACCACCAACATTATTAACACCACCACCACCACTGCCACCACTACCATCCTCACCTTCTTTGACTTGGCTCCTCCTCCTTTCACGTGCTTCACATCACTATCAGCTACCCTCTCAACCTGAAGGACGGTATACTCTGTCAGCTGATGAGGGTCACATAACGAGCTGAACGGATTGCGCCAAAAGGTTGTTGCATTCAGCTCCACAACTATGGAAAAACACAATTGTGTTTAACTCTTCCGCTTTTTCAAACTTCATAACATTTTTGTAACTGAGAATAATGAAACAATTGTATAACTTGGTGGAAACAGCATTTACATTGAATGTGTGTACAATTCTCGCCCACATATAGAAAGACTACATTTACTGTTTCCCTTGAAAATGGTTTATCATTGAAACCTATACATAAAGACCACTTTTATTGTCTCCCTTATGCGGCCATCATACATGTTTCACTGTACCATGAGCTCTTTTCAAGATGACGGTAAAATTATAGATCATTGGTAACAGACATAGTGACTATTTCCTTTGGGCTGCCCGCCCCCGCCCGAAAATAGTGACATGCCATTAACCTTAGAGAAGCCATAATTTCAACCGGAGCCTCTATCAGTGCATGATATATTTGATTCATATATATAGTCAAATTTGCTTTAGTGACCACTTGTCGACAAAGACCACATTTTTTGTTTCCCTTGAAACCATGTACTAAAGGAACCTGTACATAAAGACCACCTGCCTATAAAGACCACTTTTCTTGTCTCCCTTGGGTGGTCTTTATAGACAGGTTTCACTGTATTGCTTACTCTGCAGTGTATTAGGATCAATCAACTGCACCGTGCTACACACTCTGATACACACACAGATCTGTCCAATGTTTCCTAGAGAGGCTGCCAGCTTCTTGGGGAGACACACAACATTGTCCTGAAACATACAATAACAAAATGAAATAGATCATCCAGTATAATTATATACAATGTACAAGTAATCTCAATCAGTCAGTTGCGATTATTTCAATTAGAAATGGAGGCAGACTCAAAATGGAGAAGACTTAAAATGAGGGAGAATGAACTGATCGTAAAACATTTGTTTTGTTATTATATTATTTTACAAAAATCTTTCAAATAATCAGAGTGGTTGAGATAGATACCAAACTAAAGACAAAGCTGAGGTCCTTTTTAGGGGACATTTTTTATATGATACTCTTCCACACTTTTAAACAAAAACTCTTACCTTACAAATGGGTACAATCTCCACAGAGTATGTGTATTTGTAACTGTAGGTGTTGTTGTGGATGTCATGGGAGATCAGCTGTTGGGACAGTTTGTACCTGGCAATAAAAAATCACAATCGAACGATTAAACATCATTTCTTCATGTACCGGTATATCATAACTCTAAACATAATAATACGATGAATACGACTGCGTCAAAAGTATGCCTAGATGTATGTTTATTGATCAACAACCCAAAGACATAATGCCTCCAGCACCATCTCCGGTCGCACGGGCATTAAAGGGATCCGGTAACTTTTTCTTAGATCCTTTAAAAAAATCCTTGATTTAGCTCATTATAAACCTTTAGGTCAGTAAGGAACCCCATGACTTTTACAAGCTGATCGCCTGTCTGATTATCAAGATATTTATGATTGAAAATCAAAATCAAAATCAAATTTTGTGTTTGCCAAACGGTTTTTATAACACTACAGTGTCAGTCTATTGGGGAAAATGAGTATGGTAAAACTGGTCACTTAAAAGTTTAAACTTTTTTGAGGCACTTCTTGATCATTTTGAAGTGCAATTGTTTTAGGGCTTCAATATGACACCATATCACAGACACTGATAACACGTAGAGCCGTGCATCTCAGATTTAACATTGTTAAACGATCCCTTTAAAATAAAACTCCTATAGAACTTACTTGCATGGGACAACAGACATAAGGAAGTCCACCATCTTCCTGGCTCCATTAGACTGGTCCTTAGAGGCGTAGTAGAAATCAATGCCTTCATCATGCTGCTTGACGTTCAGACAGTTCACATGGAGATTGTGCTTGAGGATCAACTGCTCCAGGTAATAGAACGTCTTCTTGTGGGCCGTCTGAAGAAAAACAAAGTTCAAGATAAGCAATTGCAATTTGTGGGATTATTGGTCTGCAAGGAGAGACAGTTTAATACAATTCCTAAAGCTTTGAGCAGAGCTCTGTCATTCTCTGGCTTTGTCAAATAAGAGTCAGAAGCAGCTTAACCCTATATAGCCCGGTGGGGGGGGGGGGGGGGGCTATATTAGCCCCCCCCCTCTACACTTTTCGCGATAATTTTTTTACGCAACAAAATCTTGCGCTGAAATTTTATGACTTTTTCCCCTCGAGTCTTGCACAAATTTTGAAACAATTTTTTGGAAAATCGGACCTTCCATTACAAAGTCAAATGACCTTTTGTCTTTGCATGTCAGCCTGAAAATCGCCCATTTTCTTGAATTGTGTACGCAACATGGAAATATCATTTGTCCACAAAAGATATAAAACATTGAATTTTTAGTCTTGTTTATAGTTCAGGTGTTTGTTTTGTGGGTCAAAATGGTTGAATTATATTAAGAAATGAAAATAAACAACAAAAACAATAAAATACATAAAATAAAAAACAAAGAAATAAATCCTTGGCTTCCAATGATGGCAATCTTGACACATCTAGCCCTGGCCAACACACCCAACTATGAAACACCAGTAGAAAACAAAGAATGCTCACCTTTTGTCTGACCTGTACCACGGCTCTCCAGTAGTCCTTGGCTTCCACACGATGGCAGTCAGTACACATCTGACCCTGGACGACAAAGTCGACTATGAAGACCTGCTGCAGAACAGTTCCGCTCTGGACCTCCTTCTGTATGGTCAGTTTGACCTTTAACCTCTTGGAATGGGGCTCGGTCCACACGAACCCTGCATCGATGAGTCTCACCTACAGATCACAAAAAATAACAAAAAGCATTAAATTGTGACAAACTGACATTTATTTGCGAAGAAATAGCCCCACTCTTGACCTCTTTCTTAACGCTCTTTCAGAAATGGCGTGACAAACAGCCGCAACAAAAAAGCCACTTTTTAAGGTGTAAACGAATGGCAAATGTGAATGAAAAAGTTCTTGCACATATTCACTGAGCTCTGTGTTATTAGATACAGAAACGTGAAGTTTTTTATATTTTACATCATCATTTTATTTAACATACATAAGTTTTCCTGCAACCTATCTGAATGTTATAGGCTTTAGAGTAGGGATAAATCCACATGAACCCTACATCGATTTGCATCAGTCTTACCTACATATTACAAAAACAAATTACCGGTAATCAATTACATGACATCTGGAAGGACTAGAGATAAGACTTTGGAGATACGGATAGTCATGAAATCAACTTCAAATGCCTCATTTCTCTTCCTACACGATCTATTTGTGTATATCTCACCCTTGTTATATGAAATATAGAATTCTTGCTTACCTTAGCGAGTCCTTTGAGTTTCTTGAGACAGAGAGCAAGTAACTCCCTGGATTCTAGTGTACATGTAATCCACTGGGCTGGAGGCTGTAGATACCTGAAAGATACATTCATCAACATTAAAGGGTAATCCAACCCAAATAGACAACTACTCTAAATGAAAGCAGAAAAATCAGAGAAGCAAACTGAAAAAAGTTTCAATTAAATCTGACTAAATATAAGAAAGTTATGAATTGTTGAAAGTTGTAATCACCACCGGTATACGTATGGGCACTTCAAATTGGCTGAGGCCGTAATGTCAATGTGATGTAGTCTCGGACTACTTTCCTATCTGTTCCAACATATAAAATGACTAAAAAATGGGTAAGGAGGGTCTACTCTTTTTAGAGTACCTAAAATAATATGCTATCTATAACATATTTTTAGTAGTGCCCCAAGGGAGAGAGAACTTACAAGGAAAACAGAAATTAGTGATATCTTTTACATGGCAAATGGGAGAGTTATCCATGTGTGTATGGATACGTGTGTAGAGTTTTCTTGGTCCCTAACTGCACGTCGTCTTTCATTTTGCCTACCTGAGGCAATTTTTCAATAGATTCAATGACACACCGCAGGTCATTGGCAAGATCGGTTGATTGCTGGCATTCAGCACTTGGTTAGGGTAAGTCTTTTTTTAAATATTAGATTTGGGGTTAGAGGATTAGGATCATCTTTTAGGAAATAGGTTTGTGATATAACTATGATCATGATGATCTTGCAAGTATCTCAGATTTAATTAGTTTTCTTTTTCTTTCATAAAGGTACTGTTAATTTTTTATGCGATTAATTAATCATAATTTTCCATTTTCAGTTAAAGGAAATATGTAATTCCTTGATATGAAATTATGGATCATAAAAATGGCACTGTATTTTTACCTCTCACATGCTTTGCAGAAGTAGACGGCCGCCTGCTTGGGAATGCCTTCTGTGATGTCAACTTGGGTTCGCAGACAAGCCACGCACATGTTGGCTGGGTTGGGCTGAATAGGGGTCCCACATTGGCAACACAATCTGTGTAATTATGAGGGATAGACAATGAAAACCATGCATTTATTCAAAAAGAGATAATTTATTAACAGCATCATGGTCAGACTGTGTTGGTTTGTGGCTGAAGAAACTTTCTGTGTAGCATGTATACATGCCATCCCAGAGCATCACGTGAATAGATCTATGCATAATTTTTAGTATTTATATGCATGATCATTTTCAAATTACAATCGATACTTGGTGATTTGATCACGATCAGTACCACACTAGGTCTATTTGAGGGTTCCTTGCCCATCAATCAAACACAGTTTAAACATAGTATTTGATGAAAAAAAAATGCAGTGCGTTAATCTTCATTTCATGAAGCCTGCACTTTCAAGGAAGAAGAAGAAGAAGAAAAGTGCATCCGATCCAACTGCCAATTACGACATGGGTTCGATTACGCAGTAAATTCAACAATAACAAGGGACGATGTTAGGTTTGTTTACCTGCCTCTTCACGCAGGGATATGGGTGCCAATTAAGGCTAAAAAACATATTTCATATTTTCACCCAGCCCTTAAGGCTAAACATAACCACTGTGGTGAGCTAAAAACTTTTTTTTTTTAATGAAAATCTGATTAAAAATTAAATGTCAAAATATCTGGACAAAATGTCATACAAAAATGATTTTAAACTTTCACCTTTGCAATTTATACACGTAAGTCTGATGTGAATTTCTTATTTTCAAGTTATCTGGTAATATCACTCGAAATTTACTAACAATAATACAAAGTATAATTTAATCTTTTACACACCAAGTAGATCTATGAACAAAACAAAATTCACAGCACATGGGACCAAAGCCAAGGAAATAACAATTCATGACATGTGGCATTGCCCATCGCAATGTCAACGAGTGCAGTACATTCAACTAGATTAAAACAATACTTACATCATACCCTGTGTTGAATCTTGAGGTTCCATGTACTCCATGTTGAGCCACTTGAGGTTATCTGTCGCAATGAAACAAAAAGTCCTATTTTTTTAAAGGGCTGATCACTCACTCACAACTCGTCAATTGCCATTGATTGCGCAATCAATAAAAGATCATGCATGCATGGCGCACACGTATTCATGTGCTATGGCTCCCTCTAGCGCCTGCCATGCCATGATACCCAGAAAAAGTTTGGGTATATCCTGCTTTGAATTTCTAAATAAATGAACACAGATGTTGATCAAAACCAATAAATCACAGCAGGAGTTGTGTATTTTCTCTAAATGGTAAAATATGAAGAAAGCAGCCAATATTTTGTTAAAGATTCTTGTTATTTTAATGGCAATTAATATCACTCCCCATCACTCCTTGAGTATTATGATATCCCCCTTCTCAGACACATTTGTTTTTTCTTCTGAAATGGGGAAATATAACCTGTACGTACTTATCATCAAGTTTTCAAGCTTTATAGTAATAATATGATTTTTAATTTCTGATTCTGAACATCACAAGTCTCTTCAATACGATTTTCAATTTGCATCTCTCCGTCTATACAATCTCTCTCTCTCTCTCTCTCTCTCTCTCTATCTCCCTCTTTATCACTTTCCTTTTCTCTCCTTTCCCCTCTTCCCTCCTCAGCTCTCTCCTTCTCTCACTCTTCAGACAAACTTGGCTTTGTAAATTATAAAAACACAAATTTAAACTGAACTTGCAATTTATATTTACTGACATTTAATTTTAATATTTATCAAACTTTTATCAAAATCATTGGTAGACATGAAATATGTTCTGAACTCATTAAAAATCTCACTAAATCCTACATTAGTATGAAAAAAGTAGACAAATAAAAGCAATTCATTTTCTGGCAATGGCGATGGCGAATCCATAAAGAATGCCCTCAGAAGAGAGAAGTTCCCCTTCCCTAAACCCCAGTTTATTGTATCCTGAAAACCAGAACGTTATTAACTCATGTTCAACACAAAGTTAAAAGAGATGTCCTGTGGCACCTCTGTTGAAAAACGCTGGCACAGAAGATGATACCTTTCATAAGTACAAGATAAATTTCATATTTCTACATAGTGTAATAACAATAATGCATTTGACATGCTACCATTCATTGCAAATAAAACAACAACAAATAATTTGAATATATATAATGACCTTTTCACTTTATAAATCATTTATTAATGAAATTATGTCGCACATAATGAATATACTCTGTGAAACAACGATTACAAAATCATACAGAACATAAAATATTAATGTGTGAGAATTGTGAAGACAGGAAAGACTAGCTCACTCTTTGTATCACCACCTGATATTAACAAATATATTTTGTGCAGTTTTAGAGTTTTTCCAACTAATTTAATATGTGGCAAGGAAAATCATGGGCTTTTTACATGTAGAATCTGTTAATTGCATAAACCTGGAAAGGGTTAACAAAGAAATACGGTCACCAACTTTGTTGGAATAGCGCTTTGGTACAAGATCAAATTTCAAACAGGCATCATACATAACACAAACAATTGTGATTTTTGAGCCAAATGACTTGAATAAGATAAAACATTCCCTATTTAAAATTACTTTTAATGATGTTTTTTTTTTTTTAATGGACAATTTTTAAGCCAGGGCCCTGTCTTATAAAGAGTTGATATCGATCGCAACTTATTTGCGATTGATATCAATCGCAACTATGTACATAAGAGATAGGAGACTGCAAACTTGAGATTGATTGGAGGACTTACGATTGATTTGGATCAATCGTAACTCTTTGAATTGTCTAAACCAAGACATGATAACTTCAAGAGGTAGACAGAGTCCTCCCAAGTGTGATAGGCAACAAAACTAACATCGTTGGTCTAGTGATACCTTAGATGTATCGCTAGAATGACCACAAGGCCGACATGCCAGTATTGAAACCTGTGTCTATTTTTCAAAAGATCAGTGAGATTGACATTGTCGGTCTTATGGGCTGTCGGTCTAGTGGGCCGTCCCTCTCGCTCTCTTAGGATGTTGGTTTCGTGGGCTGTAACCCCCAATACAAGAGACAGTGTTCCCTCATATGATGATCACTCCCCCCTGTAAATGACTTTATCGACATTCTCACATTCATAGATAATATTTTGTCCCTTTTAAAATTCATTCAATAATTCATTTTGTTCGCTTATGTATGTACTTCAGTACTTAAACAATTTAATTCTCCACCAGATGACGACGAAATATAAAGAGTTCAATACTGATGATTGTTTTCTACTTGCTTATCAATTGATGCCATCAGAAATAGCATCTTTGTGGATTGCACTCCATTTATTACAGACCAAAATATAAGCCAAATGATCCCTTGATCAATATGACATTCTAGACATAAAAACATGATAATTTCATACAGTACTTTATCAAACATTTTGTTGTAAACATGGACAATTTTGTGTGACAATACTATTTGTGCATTGGTTAGAAAGCCTCTTCACATCTATTTCTTAGGGAAAGTGAAATTAAAAATCTGACAGTGCTGCAAAGAGTCACTCATCACCTTAGGCTTATGTATAATGATATTTCTAGCACTTTACATAGCATAAACCCTATGATCAGAAGCAAGTTTAACCTTTGCAACGAACATGGTCCATCCGGCAAAATCAGAAAGTGAGAACACACCCTCTCTACTACACACAAACTCATCACACAAATATGTCCATGTTTACATTACACCAGCAATCAATCAAAGCCGGTTCATTCCTTCTTGGTCTCTCTGTTGTTTAGCCAGGTGTAAATGTTGATACTGGACGCGAGGGATAGCCAGCCGAGAAGAGGAAGAAGGAGCATGGATGCAGTCCGATTGATGGGGTAGAACAGGGCCATGTTGACGCAAGTCATTCCAGAGTAGGCTAGGATGATGGTTACAGACTAAAAATAACAAAAAAACAAGATAGAGTTATTACAAAATTAATATTTTATAAAAACTGTTCTTTAAATTAAATCTTGTTAATGATAATACCATCTAGATCATAACTGCATATATCCCTGCTGATCAAATAAACTCATGTGAACTACTAGGGCTAAAAGCGGGATATTTTCAGGGGAATATCTGTGCTGTTACCAATGCAGACAAAATATTGTAATGGTGCATGAACTTTAATTGAAATACATTTATTGTTTTTGCATTTTGGACTGATCTAAATTTTTGTTTTAAATTTCCACGCAGATGTTATATCCTTCAAAGTGTACTGCAGAAAACCTTTATTTTTTTTCACAGAATTACTATTCTGTCACAGTGCATGTGTTCACAATGAATATAGGACAACTACCCTTTATGAAATTGTCCCCTGGACAACCAACTAACCTTTTGCCCTTAGATAACTACTCCAGGACAACAACTTTGCAGACAAATTTCCCCGTGGAAAGTCTAGACCTTGAGAAAAATGAATCCTCTCCTTTCTCCCACATCTAGGTGGAGTTCACCATGGGTTTATAGACCACTTATGTCATTTAATCAAATTTAATGCATAGATCTTTGTTAAAGACCGTCACCACTACTGGGCAAGAAGGGATTAGACCACACAGCGAGCCGTCGAGGTCACTGTGACAGGTGGCTATCTCATTAACTCAGCTCTCATTTAACATAAGAAAAAGAGGATCATGGGGGACCAACAGGCACCGATTGGGGAAGTTTTCTATATAGAGGTAGCAAGTAGCTACAAGTATGGCAGTGTGCCTTTAAGTGCCTCATTACTATTTCATTCATCTGTTACAATTGTATTTCAATAGTCAAAATAAGAATTGCATTTATTACGCGTTGTTAGGTAGGACAAGCGTTAATGTTTGTCCTACCTAGCAACATGTAATATATGCAATTTGCATTCTGACTATTGAAATGCAATTATTCATAACAGGTGATTTAAATCATTTGTTACATGGCACTTAAAAAATAGTTATGCATTAAATTTGATTACATAACAAATATGGTTTATTGTCCTCTGGGGATAATTTTCTAAGTAGCCTATGAGGACAGTAGTCGTCTAATGGTGAAAATCGAGGGGGTAGACACCCTGATAAGATTCAAAATGGCTCTTCAGAAAGACACGACACTCACATGCCCTTGCTATAATTAAACAGAAGGTCGGGTGATGACAATACAGGACAACACACATCACCTATCAAGTTCTTGCCTCTGCTCATAATATGATACCTCCCTAGAATGTGTGAGAATATCTTCTCACTCATCACTTCACCGACATATAAACCAATGAGTTCAGATCAGAATTTTAAAGGGAAGGTTGCAGTCAGTTTTCATGTGCAGTAGGTCATAATTCACCGACACCAGACATGGTGGAAATACAATTAATGGGTTTACAAGTCTCCACACAGCAACCCCATAGGCATATCAAGAAATACCTCCTAGTCTCTCTGAGAGGCTCAAACATTATTTTTATGTTTCCTAAAGATAAACATATATTTTGTAGTAGGCCATAAACACTCTTATTGCCATGGAAATGTAGATGATGTCCAAGATTATTACCCAAAATGTCCAAGATTATTACCCAAAATGACCAAACTACAACAGCAACAAATTTGAATTTCATGAAAGAATTTTGTAGCAAACTATGACAATCTTTAAAAACTTCAAAAGCCCCACCGCACTAATTTTTGTCATTTTTTATTGAAAAAAGCCTATGTGAAATGAGTCCCTGGTTGTACTTACCAATCCCATCTTATGTAATCCAAAGAACACTGGAGTCCAGGCCCAGTTTAGAGCTAGCGATGCCCCATAGGTAGCAAGTGGGACCATGGCATCACCTTCAAATCCACCTGCAGAGGCAGATGTAACAAAAAAGATACATGCATGATAATTTACATAATATTGTTAGAAATGATATACGTGGGGAAAATTTGATATTTCCTTGTCAGTATGCAGAATTCATCAGAATTTCTGAGAAAATCAGACTGAGAGCTACCGGTAAACACTTTTTTTCAGTTAGAGTGATAGAACAGACAAGGGTGAAAATCAATCTGAAAACAAACATTACATGTAAAAGGACACATTTTAATGTATTTTTTCTTCAAAATTCATCTGACAAGCAAAACAAAAAAAGACCCCAAACGAGTAGAAAAGGTGATGATTTTTTGATCACTTATACTCCAAAAGTCTGTGGCAAGCAAAAAGAACATAACATTAGTTACATTTTGAACTTGTTATATTTGAGTTATATATTCAATATCTACTGGTATTTAATAAAGAGCAAAATAGGTGAAGGGGGCAACATTAAATGATTTACACCTTCATAATCCCCAGGGAAACACATACTCCTTCCCCCTCCCCCTGGATTTTAAGTCATGAGAACAAGTAAAGTCAGATGAATTGTTGAAAAAATTAATTGCTTACCGCCATCTTTCCAGACGAGGTAGGAGGAGTACCCCATGGCCGCGTAGAGGGACGTCCAGACGGGGGCAAAGGCTTTCTTGGGTGGGGTCCACCAGGGCTTCTTCAGGGTGTCGTACCAGGCCATCTTTTCGGGACCCTGGGCCATGCTCGACGCAAAGCCCCCGAGGTTAGGGAGGAAGATGGCCCCGGCTATCTTCATGTAGTCAGACATGGTGCAGGTTGGCTGTCAGCAACTTTTGGATTAAAGGAAAATGAAATAATCAACTTGCATATTATTAGACTACCGGTATATCAATGATTGGCAACATCCACAAATATTAATTAATAAAAATATAAATTGTATTTGTTTTCCTCATTTGTTATGTAGCCATAAGCCATTTTTATGTACAATAACATGGCATACCGCCAGTTTTGCTCAACACCCACCAGGCATACACGGCTGAAAAATAGTCATAACAATAAGCAAGTTCGTAAATAGCTCTGGAACACATGACCCCAAAATAGACCTATCCACAGATCTTTTAAATGATGGATACGTCCCACATGTGCATTTTAGAATAATCACTGCCAAAGGGATGGAGGCGCTTCATGAATACCTTTTGTTTGCCTCTTTGAGAAGAATACTTCCACCTGCATGTGTACTATCAGATAGACTAAATGTAGTCTACTGAGTACTGTTAGATCTACTTAAATGAATACTGATGAGGCCTAGATCTAGGTCGACATAACTTTTATGAGCACGATCCAAGTATTCGTCCCAACGGTTTTACAATTTGGGTACGAATGACCTTTATCTGCCCATGCGCAAATCCTAATAACGAACTCGCTTATTAACATTAACATGGTCACAACCCCGCCCCCAATAATGCCAGGGCCAAAACATAACCATACAGCCATGTCCATACTAATGCAGTAATAGGCACAAAGGCTAAATTAGCCATGCCAAAGCACACAACCACCTTCATCATCATGTTCATCATCTCTGTTTGCTATCAAAAACAAAAACATTGAAAAAAATGATATGATATCTAAATTGGAGGACAATAATAACGGTACCGTATACAGTACCTTACGTTAGCTCAATTCGGTAATTAACTCACATAGTATTACAACAGAGACGTCCAGACACGCTAGCTCAGTCTCTTCCTCCGACCAAAATTATGTTACAAAACAAGGGCGCGCGCGCGCACGACGGGTCAGTACAGTCTTTGGTAAGGGTCAAATCGTGGCGCGCGCCGAGCCCACGTGTACTTGTTTACATACCCCACCACTTCTGTACCCCATGCTACCAGCGCGAAGATTGGACGTCGACCGATCTGATACCGTTTCAGTTTGAGAGACTTTGTCGGGCCGGGCTGTTCAGAGTTTCTTTGGCATTTATATTAGCTACTCATTTATAACTATGGCATATTCTGTACCCGTAAGTATTAAGTAGGGTCAAGATCTAGTCTATTACTAAACTTCTAAACAATCCAAGTTCGATCTTACTTAGCCCCTCCCCCTCTCCCTTCATATATGTATATAAATTATTGTAACACAATGAATTTCCATTAATAATAATAATAATAAGACTATATAGCAATGATAACAATGCAATACATTATCGTTACTTGTAAAATCCTATAGTCATTCCACCTAACTTGATATTATTTTTGATGCATGACTATAATATCTTTGTTTTGATTGTTAATTGTTTATTTTTGTTTACTGTCAACTCAAAAATTATTTTATCGATTTTTGTATGAGTGTATTATGTTAAATATATATCGCAATACCATGTAACACAATTAATTTCCATTGTTAAATGGACAATAAAGATGAACCTTATGAACCTTATTCCCACCAAGTACCAACATACCTAAATTGGCCTGATCATTCAAATAAATTATCTGTGAGCCTACCATTTTTCATGCACAGAAGCAAGGAGTCTGGAAGATGGCATCTCGTGGAGGACCAGAAGGTGAAAATACAAACATCTTTCGTTTGATGTCATGGAACATTGACGGACTCGATGAGAGGAACACGGAAGAGAGAACAGGGGCAGCATGTGATACCATTATGAAGTAAGAAATATTGACCTTTTGACAACTATTCTTAGGGTTTCACCAGCACAAAAAGGCATTGTTGGTTTCATTGACTGTAGGTCTCATGGCACTATGAACATGACTGACAAAGAAAGCGGACAAAATATACAGTTCCTAAGTTAGACAAAGGAACATCCCTTCACTGCTATTATGTAAAAAGGTGTAGAACAGGTGTCACATGCATATTCACCTTTTTACATAATAGCAGTGAAGGGATGTTCCTTTGTCTACCTGAGGAACTGTATATTTTGTCCGCTTTCTTTGTCTGTCATTTTCATAGTGTGGGCTCTCAGTTTTATGGGCTGTCATTCTTGGCTGAGCCATTGTAAGTTATACTGTACACATAAATGGTACCAGTTGTGGGTTCAGGGGAAGGCAGAGGGTATGTGCACCCCCATACATTATCTATGTCCAAATAGAATTTTTTTTAATGAAATGAACGTCTTAGAACTTTATGATAAAGTTTTCCTAGGGACATTGCTCTCTATGACCTTTCAATAAAAAAAAATCACATTGATCCACCTTGACTCATGAAAAGTTGGTTTGGTTGTCAATAATGGAGGAATTGTAAATGATTCGCACCCTTCCCTCATGCTAAAAAGAGTTATCTCGCTAGATAGACTTCTGTTCTAATGCATTCTATGAGAGAAGAGTTGTAAATTTTGATTAAGTATCCTGTATGTTGCGTTTTTCAGGTTAGCTCCAGACGTGGTCTTTCTCCAAGAGGTGGTACCCACAACACACACTCTCCTCAAGGCAAGGCTGTCTTCCAAGTATACCATCCATGCGGCCAATTCCATTGGATACTACACCTGCACGCTGGTGAAGAATTCTTCAGAGTCCTGCATCACAACGAGCTTGGTCCAACCTTTCTCGAACACCAAGATGGGCAGGAACCTGCTCATTGTCAATGTAAGTTTTGCTTTAATTGTGCAAAGGGAACCTTCCTACTGCTAAGTAAAGATATTGTCTACAGACTGTTTAGCTAGTTTGATGCCAAATTGAGTCCGAGTGGCCCAGGGCTCATTTAGGATGACATTTTATTTTCAAGTTTCAGGATTGTAACCAAAGTCAACTTACCAAGTATATGACTGAGGAGTTGCTTTTGATTATACTTTAAACAATAACAGTAATCAGGATAAATGCTGTTATTCTATAGAGTACATATCAAGCAATTTATCCTGCCATGTATCCATTTAGCACCTGGGTGGAGAGAGGCAACTGTAGATGTGATGCCTCGTTTAAGGGCAATTGCACCAGGAAGAAATTCAAGCTCTCAACCATTTGATCGAGTGTCAAATGAATGAAGCACTGCAATCCCCGTAAAGGTTTACTGTTGGAAAAAGTCTCCCAAAATAATATATTTGTAACTGTTTTTAGGATTTGTTTTTAACTCATTTATAGCTTAGGGTCTTTTCTATCTTAGGACAAAGAAAAATATTATATTTTGTTCAATAGTCACTTTCATGAAAGGGTGCAAATTCCAGACAGTTCATGAAGTGGTACTAGTATTTGTTTGGTTGAGAGTCTTGAAAATTATCTTTGTGTGATTGATTAATTGTCTGTTGATTATTATCTTTACATTTGTCATCTACCGGTATACGTTGCAGGCAAGTTATAAGAACATGTACCTGTCACTCATGAACACCCATCTGGAGAGCACTGGGCCAGCGGCGGCTGAGCGCCTGCTGCAGTTCCAGCAGGCTTTAGGAGAGATGCAGATTCAAGACCCGGATAGAGTTGTCTTCTTTGGAGGGGATACCAATCTTCGAGATAAAGAGGTGTGAATATAGTCTCTTCATTTTTTTGTTTTTCCTTTTAACTTTTTGATTTATACGTTATTATTAGTTGCATATCCGACCATAGAGTTGAGCCCGATTACCCCCCCCCCCCCCCCCCCCCCATTTCAAATTTCAATGTCCAGGAAAGACAATATTACATTAATACAATTGACAAGGGTTTAAATGATTTCATGGATACTGAGAACTTTTGGGGGGGGGGGGTCTAGAAGTGGAAGCATCCATATTCCAATGCTTGATTTTATCAGAAATATAGGGTTGGGGTTAGTGCTTGGTCTTGGTTTGAAGTTAAGGATGCACTAATGGACCGTGGAGCAATTGTATACAACCATATCATTATCAAATAAAATGTCATTCGATCATACATGTAGTAAGTATGATGTATGATGGTGACCCTAACATAAGGTTTTAGATTAAGAAATGTTTGGTCTAAAGCTTAACCAGATTGATCTTTTAGAAGAGGGTGTCCAATGAGGGAAAGGATTTTAAGAATAAGTTTCATGTTAGTTACAATGTTTGGTATGTATGCATTTCTAATTATGGTTATCTTAATTTTGTTGTTACTTGCCAAGGTTGCAAGCATGCGTGGCCTACCCCAGGGAATCGTAGACCAATGGGAAGCTTGCGGAGCCGACAAAAAGACAAAGTTCACCTGGGACACCACAACCAATGACAATCTGGACTGGCAATCGGGAAGCTTCAAACCGAAACTCCGCTTTGATCGCCTCTTCCAACGACCCGCAGCAGGACACGCTACAAACTTGAGCATAAGTTCCTTCAAGCTTATCGGCAAGGAGAGATTGCCAGGCTGTCAACGGTTCCCGAGCGACCACTATGGGATAGTGTGTGACTTCGATATTTTGCCGGGAGAAGTGTGATCGTTGGTGATGTTTGGTCAATCAATTGGTCAGTCATTTGGCCTACAAATGCATATCATTGCGGACGTTTGTTCGATCAATTGGTCAGTCACTTGGCCTACAAATGCGAATCATTGCGGACGTTTGTTCGATCAATTGGTCAGTCACTTGGCCTAAAAATGCAAATCATTGCAGATGTTTGCTCAATCAATTGGTCAGTCACTTGGTCACTGGGACTACAACAATCTGCCTGGAGAAATCTTTGATGATATCATTCCTAAACATGGCTCTATGCAGGATGATACTGTTAATCTCTTTAAGTCTTACCTTTGGGTCTATTAAGATAGACTGGACTAAACATGATCATGGTCCAACTTACTTTATAAAGGTGATTGATGCTAATTTTCAGATCTTCAAAGTAATGAGCCTTCCACAATTCATGCAATTCATGAATTTTTTTGTGGGCTTTGTGGCAGGAATTTTTGATTTTGATACCCAAAGCTAATGTTTTAGATGCACTTAATTCTGAACCAACGCTGTATTGGTCCATATCAGTCGTTCTCTCAAGAAGTGCACCTTAGTGAATTGTGATATGTTTTTGTTAAGACCTTGTTATCCATATTTGAAGGAACCTTGCAAGTATTTGAAGGAATGACACTCCTTTCTTAGCCAACGATCTTAAAGCTTTCAGTACTAATTTTCTCTTCCATACTTTTTGCCTCTTTGCACGACAGGTGAATCTTATGGTATAAATTTCACTCACATATTTTGCTCCAAATTTGCATTTGTAAACAAATGATTTGAGATGTTTTAGCTAAGATCTAGGCACCTACATTGTATGTTTATTTTCTTCTCGACTCAAATCTGAGATATTTATTAATGAAAATGTTTTATATACAGGTACCTGTCACTCATTTAGATTGGTATTTGTATCATCTGCAAAATTGTTTTTACTACCCTTTAGAAAGTAACTTTTTGATCAAAGTAATGTACAATATTGTACCAACTATGAAGGAAAGAGCAGCTGAGACACAATTTAATATCATAGGAACTCTACCAAATGTCTTGTTTTTGCCAAGAATGTTCAAGTGAATCAAAGATTGAACGATAAAACAGGGTGGCATAACAAAAAGTAGAGAGAAATTGTTTTCTGAATTTTGAAAAAAATCATATTCCTATCAACTTCCATGAGAGGAAGAGAGGACCTAAAACTGTTGGTCCTCTGGTTGCTTACTAACAAGCATTAAAGCTTTCTTAGCAGACAGGTAACATAACCACCACTAAAGTAAACTGTGCTGCAATTTTTTACAAACAAAAACATGAGGATTATCGCTATTGGGTCGCATCATTTTGTATTTGTTGTACTTGGTTGTTTTATGTATTGATACATGTATTATGCCGGTAAAACTACACATGGTGATGCAACATTGCTAGCTTTATTTGGCCTTAGCATGAACATCATGAAACTGATGTGTCTTACACTCGCTCATCACAGCTATGGCAGGATTCTACAGTATGTTTGATATACATTATGAGATTCGGTCATGGCTCATAAGATACATTTTCATTTTCAGCACAGGAATGTCTTTATTTGTTGAATCCACAGGCTAAAGGCTTTATGTTGCCAAAGATAAGGTCAAGGGTTGTGATTGGTTTTAAAGTTAGGTTCACTTCAGGGCCATGGTTAAGTTCAGTGTATGGTCAAGTATTGATGTGCGGACTTGGTCAGTGTTACATATTGACCATGGAGAATGGTTACCGGGGGGGGGGGGGGGGGGGTGGTGGTGTTTCACAAAGCTGCTAAGTCGAACTTAACTCAAAGTTGGACTTAACCATTATGGAGACCCATTTGTAGCCTTAAAACAAAATACCTGTATATTCAAAAGCAAAAATTCAAGTATTTTAGACTTTTCATAAATTCCACATCAACAACATGAAATCTCCTTGATTATGGAAAATATGAATGATAATCAACATTCAATTCCTTTTAAAATAATTTTACAAAATATTTTTCAATGATGCTAATGGCTTTCTATAATTGTTAAGTCCAACTAAGAGATAAGTTCAACTTAGGATCTTTGTGAAACACCCCCTGAGCATGTCATTGCCTGTCTGCAAGAAGCCCATAAGAGCTACAGGTATGTATTGGCAATATCAGTATCAACAAATTGTATTGTATAATCCTCTATTCATTCCACTCCCATAATGAGTGTTGTTATACATGGACAATGGTGTCATTTTTACTACTGTGTCAAATATGAAATCGTAATTCATCTCTGATATGTATTCATGTTAAACCTACCCTCCTCTATCGGCTCTATCGCTTTGTTGGAAGATTTTAAAATGTGTCAAAGATGATCGATCATCAATCTATTTTTATTGTATAATTAGCTGCAAAAAGAATGAAATAACTGATTAAATGATTTATGGTAAGCTCTTATTTGTTATTCTTTGGTTCCAGTAACTAATGGCAATTTAGAAATGTTTAGTATGCCACTGATGGTCGTTTGGATCAGAAAATACATATCAAAAAAATCTTGCTGAAAATCATATTCACTGAAAACATAATGTTAAAGGTAATACAAAGTTTTGGTATTGGGTCATGGATTTGGTTCAAATGAACACATTGGAAGCATATGCGATCCTACAATATTCAGTAATCGTTGTTGCTGTTGAAATCGAGTCCAAAGTTATGAAATTTTAAATAATACACTCTTTCTGTTGTATAGCTCCCTCTCAAGGTCAAGATATTAATGAAGCTATAAAACAATGTTTCTTGACTAAAATTGACCCATGAGCTATTCCCGTTTGGAAATTATATATCACAACTACATATGAGATTTTCATGGTCGCAGCTACCATTGTATGGCCGTAGGCGCTATTTGAAATTTATCAAAAGTGTTTCTAGGGGCTAAATTTTCTAGTGCTTATAATGCATCCACAGGGCATCCAAATATATCAAAATTGTAAAGATTCACTATCCGCCCAATTTTCAAAATTTCCCAAAACTTTGTATTACCTTTAACACTGTAGTCAAGACTTGACCACCACCGGATCATTACATTTGATAAAAGCCTCAATCGAGTGTCGGTCTAACTTTTAGTAGAATACAGGCCGTAGAGGCCACTGCTACACACAGCTAGGTTTTGTCGGTTTTTTTTACCCTCTCAAACATTGCCTCTCACCATTATTTTGCACACATTTTGCTGCAGCATTCTTTTAGGTGTTATACAGTGTCGTGTGTGAACAACACCTAATGGCCGGAATTCACAAAGGAGGTTTGAATTTAACCCATGGTTTAAACTTTAAACCCTCATTTACGCAACCCATGGTCTAATATTGGACCTCTGGTTGTGTCACACTTCATTTGCGCTAAGTTTAGACCATGAGTTATGCAAATAAAGATTTAAACCATGGGTTAAACGATCACCCTCTGATAATAACGCACAAAAGAACACCATCTATTCATAACAAAAAGAAAAGTATTAAACGCATTTATCAAAACAAAACACAATTTTATTGGCAAGGCTTTTTCAAATAGTGGTAGAATGTACAAGAAATTGCCTACCGGTATTCTGAATTTCAACAATTGTATCTACAAATGTACTCTTGAAGAATGCAAGAAGCTGTGTTCATAAAGTGTGTTCATAAAGTGACTTCATAAAAAGTATGGGGGAATAAGCCTTGTAAAAAATGGTACATTACCTGAGATTTGAGTAAATTTTTCAGACTTCAAAGGTACAGTGGTTATTATCATTCAATAATCATCACATCTTGCATGCATGAAAAATGATACACACAAAATGAGACTACATACATTTATGCCCTTCTGTTGTCGTAAACCCAGAATGTTGTCCTTTGAAACCATTATAATTTAATAACAACTTGAGTTACCATACCAGCATTTAAAATATGACATGACTATTTGTATACAATCCTTTGAAACAATAATACAGAAATAGTTACATATTGGGCATACTGTACATCCACCCATGGGGATACTCGATGCACTTGCGGTAAAACCTGTCTATAAAGACCACCCAAGGGAGACAAGAAAAGTGGTCTTTACAGGCAGGTGGTCTTTATATACAGGTTCCTTTAGTACATGTTTTAATGAGAAACCATTTTCAAGGGAAACAAAAATGTGGTCTTTGCAGACAGGTGATCACTAAAGCAGGTTTGACTGTACCACTATTACCCTGGCTTTAGGCTTTAGCCTAGCTGCCCTGAGGTGCTGAAAGCATTCAAGCAATTACAAGTATAGACTGTACTTCCTACTCGGTACCCATTTACCAAACCTGGGTTAAGACTGGCAAATGCAGACTGATGCCACGCCAAACGATGTTAGTACTGCAGTTGGGACTCGTACCATGAACCATTAGAAGCACAGTCAGCTTTCAAAAGAAACAATGGAAGTATGACAGCTTTCCTTTAGACTTTCCATACTAATTGGCAGAATGAATGTGTACCAATTTACTTCAGGCACTTTTGTTTCAAAGGAAAGGAATTTAAATGTATTATACCATACAGCTTGACCTGCTAGTCTAATAGGTAGATTTCATTGGAAATACATGTATCTGCACACATTTAAAAGACTCATTTTCATTTTATTATTTTTAATTTCAGTTTTAAATTTAACAGAACACTGCCTCTCCAGAAGAAAAAAATTAAGGTATCAAACATTCAGCATATAAAATACAGTCCAACATGCAGGGGAGTTCTGATATGGGGTGGTAAACGTGTAATTGAATTGCAGCTGCGCGCAACAAAAGACTTGCGCATTTTGTTTACTCATTCAACTTCTCCATACTATTTTGAAATATGTAACAAAACTTGAGACTCCTCCTAATTTCTAAAGATAGATAGAATGCTTCATTCACAAATTACAAAGTATTTACAATTCAAAAAACGATTCCATTAATATGCATCAATTGCTGCTACATTGTACAATTAGAAAATACTGTTTTTGGACATCAAATATAATTTTTTATCAATCAATTTTTAGAGAAATATACACTTAAAATTGGTCTCACTTGTTTAAAAACTGGAAGATAAAAAGTATGTGAAACTTGAAGACAAAACAGAGAAGTGAAACAACTTCTCTCAATTTTGCAATTAAACTTTTGATCACGTATAAAACTTCTAGTTCATGAGTAGATTAGAGATGATTGTATCAACTTCAAGACAACATATACGCGCTAAAACCATGGATTTACAATGATCACTGACAAGTGGCAACAATAATCAGTTTCACATTCAAGTCCATTTAAAGAGTATGGATCACCAAAACGTGTTAGACTCTTGATAGGGTTCCGTGTTACTATACCTGTAGTCAAACTATGAGTTTCAAACATTTATTCTACAAAGAGATAAATATCACAGTTCAAATACACTCCCGGTGAACTGTAAAACGTCTCGTTTAATAGACTACTGAAAACACACCTACACACTCGCATAGAATAGGGTGTGCGCGGAACCCTAAGTCTGACTTTGAGCCTGTGCACGCCCTATAGGCAGGGTTTTATGTTTTTCTTTATTTTCTTCATACTCCTTAACCATTCAGTAATACAATGCTAGGTAATATTTTTGTAAAGGTGATTTCATACATTCTACTTATACATAAATTATTTTTTAAGGAGATTGGTACACTTTGAGTTTCCCAGTGAAAGTCAAAGAGCCCCCACGTCAGTGGGCAGCACCAACATTATGTGGTGGCACATCAAACTTTTTAGAAGTCCTTAGAAGTTTGGGCTTGTTCAGATATGGCTCAGTAAACCGCAAAAAAGCCTCAACAGGTTTTTTTTGTACAAATGCTATGCTTATTACATTTCACATCATTAAAAAGAGAGAAAAACGCTGCAGTTTTGATGGATCATATCTAAATGAGCCTTATGTATAAAAATGGTCTTACATGGCACTCATAGCTACATGTGGGCTTCAAGTGCAGGAAGTGTGGATACAATTTTAACTCAGACAAGGTAAAATACTATCACTAAAATATTCACTATAACACATATTGGTGGAGGAACAAACGGAGATGCATAAAAATATCTCAATATCCAAAGTTTATAAAGAATTGTATTTACAAACCACTAAAATATACACTAATATCTACAATACAGACAGCGATCATCTTTCAAATGAAAGTGAATTCATGAGATCGTAATACAAAACATTAACTCGGGTATGTAATCTGATATATTCTGTATATATACCAATGGGAAAATGTCAATTCTTATGAAACTTCCTGAAATATCAACAAGAAAATCTATAGGAATCTAATAACTTATAATATATGTATATCTTATTGAGGCAGAAATTCAAAACATTGTTTATAAATGGTGAATTCTTGAGTGACATGTGTGAGTAATTAAATATCGACACAAGATAGAAAAGGAGATCCTCTTGAAACATTTCTACTTACATGTACAATTTCAAAATGTGAAAATTCCATCCATTTCCTACAAAATCACTTCTCCTTTTAATAGTGAGTGATACTAGTAGTCACAATAACAAGACCAACAATAGACCAAACAATGTCTGTTTGGAGCCAGAAGGGCAGTAACTCGGTTTTAAATGATACGATTTAACACCCTTCTGGTTCTCAACAGGAGATAAAAGTCCAGAATTCAAAATGGCCAATGGTTTGACAGTCATCGGTTGGCATGGGATCCATTTTGGTGGAATAAACGAGGTATAAAAGAGGATCACTGTCTGTAAATCACATATATATACTAGAATCATTAAAATGCAATATGTGAAAGGATCCTTCTACCCGAGGCCGTCCGTTCTCCCGCGTATCCGTCGAGCGAGTTGCATGTCCTTGGGCATCACAGTGACTCGCTTGGCATGGATGGCACACAGGTTGGAGTCTTCAAAGAGATGGACGAGGAACGCTTCCGCTGCCTGTGAAAACAGGATTAATAATAAAAACGGTGCTTATAATTCGCTTACCACCAAAGTCTCTAAGCGCTATAACAAACAAAATACAATGATAAACGATTACATATTAAACAAAACATTACAAATAAACCTACAAATTACAATACATATGACATATACATCAATGTGGGCAGAGTAAGTAAATCATTGAATTTGAATTTGAATTTATTAACAACAACATAACACAATGTTACAAATGTATTCAAGTGGGAAACAAAATAACATGTCTATACATATCCATGTACATGCGTTACAAAGAAAAAGAAAATATCCATATCCATCATCAAAAGCTGTTTTGAATAAATGTGTCTTTAGACGTAAACGTTATAGTATTTTGGGTGTGACAGGCACAGAGGGAAATTTCCCCCAAAATCTTACCCCTCCTTAAATTGAAGAAAAAGTAGAGTTTTGGTCATGCCATTGCACTTGCAAAGAAACTGTCTGGAAGTGATTTCTTTAAACTTTTCACGAATCTGCTTCTCTATTTTTTTCTGGTTTCTTACAGAGTAATTTGAAATTAAGATTGGATTTTCCTTTAAATTGCTTTGAATTGTAAATAATAGCCCTTAAATAGTTTTTAAGTTCTAACTTTCAATGCATAATACTTAACCATATTGATAATTTCATCACTGGACTTATCGGACTTTATACCTTAAATCCAACTTAACCGAATGACAATTCTACTCCTTCTTTGAGCCCAGATCAACTGTCAATGTCCATGTGTTGGATCACTGAATCGCTTGCCTGACAAAGCGCCATACACTTACCTCTTGTAATGCCATAATAGCTGCAGCTTGCCAGCGATTTAGTGATGATGGGTTTAAGATAAGACAAATTTCCCTTACCTGCAATAAAAGGATGAAAAAACAGGATGTAATTACTGTTAAATCTATCATTCTAAAAGATATATTCAAATGACAGGAGGAACTGTTTGTATGTACCAGCCCAGATGGGCCACAAGCTTAGGGTACAAAATCACATTCATTTCCTTTAATCAGTTCCAAATTAATAATTGTCAACAGTCACATCAGTATCATGCCCAAGGCTTATTTGATAAAAACTGTATAAGCTGAAATTTTTTTGAAATGATTTAATTTTCATGACTTTTGCAAATCACTCACCGATCACAAATTAAACAACACAGCAAACAGAGATATTGACACCCCTTTTAGGGGTTTTCCTCCTAGTGGAGTTTCATGTATCAATAATAATAATAATAATGAACATTTGTATAGCGCCTTTTCTACAAGTAGATACAAAGCGCTTAATTAACATATATATCAAGCGTTAGAGGTGCGCATGTATACCTCATTTTTTATGTATGATGTATCGGTACTGTGTCTGTATATGTGCAGCACATCTGCAAATTCATGCAGTGCAGTCAATAAGTAACGCATGCATGAATTGTGCAGAACAAACTTGTGTGTCTTCTAGTTTAGAAGTGCGGGCGGAGAGTATGTGGAAGTACAGGTCATTCACAAAACCAACAACCCGCAAAAATATCTTTGGGCATGTAATTCGCGCAAAGAAATCTACACAACTTTTATACGCAAAATACATTGGCTTATATCGTTCCACTTCTGAAGGTCTGTCCTGTAGGTAAAGACCAATTTTCTACAGGACACATTTCAATGGAATCATCATAATTGGTGGGGGAAAAAAACGTTCATGGGAGCAGATCGAGAGCTACTTAGCTCCGGAAAGCTAAACAAAAAAGGGCTCTGGATTACTAAAAAGACCTCTGGTAAAAATAATCAAAAACAAGGGAAACGCTCTCGGCGGTCTCGCCTGCATAACGCAATTCAATATGATAAACCAGAACGTCAATGACGTAGCGCTCATCCGCATCTCACAACAACAAATATCGTAAATTTTATGTGGTACACTTTTGAACTGGTCAAAAAATAACAATTTCATGCCCTGGAAGGGACATAATTTCATTTCATTTGCATAAAGTACCATAAATAATCAATGGAGCAAAATCTCACAATTCTGTGTAGAAGTTTATTGTTCCAAATTTAGCTCTACCAGATAAGGCAAAATCGGTCAAGAAATGAGGGAAAAGAAGCCATTTTTGTTATTTTTGGAATAAATTTGCATAAATTACCATAATTAATTAATGGAGAACAATTTCAAAATTCTGTGTAGAAGTTTAGTGTACCAAAGTTACGATATAAAGCAAACCAAATCAAAATCGGTTGAGAAATGAAGGAGAAGAAGCCTTTTTTGTGATTTTGAATAAATTTGCATAAATTAGCATAGATAATGAATTTCACGATTCTGTGTAGAAATTTAAATCCCCTCCTAGCTCTATCATATGAAACAATCAGAATCAAAATCGGTTGAAAAATAACGAAGAAGAAGCATTTTGAAAATCTTAATGTTGATGCCACAACAAAGTCTAAGTTTGTTGACCTTAAATGGCCTTTGACCTTAACTTAGTGACCTGAAATTCCACTCACATGATTGGGGAGACTTGATAACCCTATAGTCCAAGTTTCATTGACTAAGAACTTATACTTTCAAAATTATATCAAAAATTCAAAAACTTAACCTTAGGTTAAGTTTTCGATGATGATGCTACAACATAGTCCAAGTCTGTTGACCTGAAATGACCTTTGACCTTGACTTTGTGATCTGAAATTCTACTCACATGATTGGGGATACTTGATTACCCTATAGTCAAAGTTTTATTGACTAAGAACTTATACTTTAAAAATTATACAAAAAATTCAAAAACTTAACCTTAGGTTAAGTTTTTGATGTTGACGCCGTCGCCGTCGCCGTCGCCGTCGCCGTCGCCGCCGCCGTCACCGGAAAAGCGGCGCCTATGTCTCGCTTTTTGCTACGCAGGCGAGACAACAATCAAAAACATCAAAATCACAGTAATCAAACTCCAGCTTGAAGTACAGCAAATCCCAAAGAAAGCAGCCATAAACAATAATGTCAATGTTATATGTTCCTAACACACGTTCCTAACACACGTATTTGAAACTGATCTCTACTTACCACTCGAGCAAAGGGCAGCTTCCTGAGCAGTAGATTAGTACTCTTCTGGTATTTTCTGATCTCCTTGAGAGCTCGCGTTCCTGGTCGGAACCTGGGTGGTTCTAAGAGAAAATGTGAATCAAAAATTACATAAAGCAAGAGGAATATTTCAATACAGACTTTGATATTAAATTATACTTCAGCAATTTTACATTTCAATTTCTTTAAACATTTTACAGTTTGAATTTTTAAAAAAATGAAAATTTAACTCTCAAATAGTACTCCCATTTAGTACTTCAATTCCTTCTACTCCCAAGTAGTACATGTATCAGCTGATGATAAGCAGATGATCAGGAAAGATACAGAAATTGACAAAAGGGCTCTAAAAGTAAAACTTAAAAGCACACATAGCAGCATTGCCATTAGTATACTTTTTGTGTATTGAAAACTGTTTAGACGACCTCTATAATCTATCGTCGTATTGATTCTCAAAATTTCAAACACCACTGTACAAAACTCAATCAACCGAGTTCACTCAAAATCGGTACTTACTTTTAGTGACAATTGATGACACCTAAAAATATCAGTAATATACAATATTTCAACTTAGTCTACCGATGTTGGAAAAAATACTTTAAAAATTCAAATCGTGAGTCTACTGTCAAACTTGCCGATCAGCCACTTCGTTGTGTGCATTAGCCATTTAACTAATGTGCATTGTGTGTAATTGATGCCTCTCACTCTCAGCACGCAAGTATGAAGCCCTAGCCTAGAGCGGGCTAGAGGTCAATTATGCATTACTTAGCATTGATTATATACCTCACTTAAGAAATCCAGCCATCTGATTGGTCGAAATTGGAATCGTGATTTAAGCCATTCCCAAAAAGAAAAGAAAAATGCCAAAACCGGTTAATAGTCCAAAAGATCCCTCAAAATTCTGGTTACCCGGAAAATAAATGAGGAAGTGATAATTTCCTCCACTATCCGATTACAGAGCAGTCCATATTTGTTTTATATACCTCATCCGTTCCAAGATAGACGTAGGTATTCATCAACATCTCCTAAATATCATCATCAAATTTAAATAGGTCTATATGAATTTTTCTAACTTTACCACAAGAAAATACAACAACTTTGGTTTTAGCTGCGTTGACATCACAGGTTTTTGGAGTACTAACACAGGGTTTGATAGAACGACGCAATGATAGATCGAAATGCTCCTCGTCATGTGATATAGTCTTGACCAATCAGTGAATGACAATCTATGTTTGAGGTATATAACAGTGGATGCAACTTCCCCTTGTCCTTGAGCATATAAAACAGCCAGTCCTCTTGTCGATATCTCTATAGACTAGGTCTAGATCTACTAGTAATAATGCTTTACTGGAGTGCCTATAAAAACAGGTGATGATCCAGCTTTTTCATGGAACTCTTTGCTGAAATTGATATGCTAGACTATTGCTGATTTCAGATTAGACGGACGATAGGTACTAAGGTAGTAGTACGCAACGTAGTCTCACTCCAGCAAAGCATAGACTAGAGTCAATGCTAATGCGTATTGACCTCTAGGCTCTAGCACTGCACAGCACTACGCCTTAATAGGCAGCATTTGAATACATGATGAATAGTCAATACACTCATCATAACCATGGAGTTACTAGCCGAAGAGTGGAAACTCTGCCCTTAGGGCTTTTCTTATCACTCAGAGCGGGATTATGAGGGATTAGGGGTCCAACGAAAAACAAAACGACCTCTTACGCAACGAGGTCACCCTGGTCTCGATCTCCGGACTTTTATGTCCAATGCGCGATGCCGCACTGAACTGGCCCTCTCTAGGAGGAAACATCGACAGTCCAGTCATAATATATAGTTGGTTTATATAGACTAGCTCTATACACATCAAAGGCAAAATGATTATAACGGAAAACTGTACACGAGCGACGAGTTTGTAATGACATGCACAGTTTTTCTGTTATAATCATATTGCCTTCGGCGTAGACTAGAAGGGATGAGATTTAGATGACGTCATGCGCAGCGAGAGTTTAAACGCCCGCTGCAAGATTTTTATCATGGATAACGATTTTGACCCATAATTTCCTAAAAATGGACCATTAAACGGATTATTTCAGTCAAGTTGGTAAGTGGAACCGAAGTAGTTAAGTTTCAACCTAATTTACAATATAAAATGCATCAGATATGCATCCTGTGAAAGGAGTAATTCGGGGATAAGTTTTGCAAGTTTGGTGTACTGGTTTGCCCACATAACCCTACACATTTCGCGGGATAGTCTGTTTCGGTCTCTAAAGAGAGAGTCGACCCTACCCCAATAAGAGGCTAACTAAAGAAAGAGACGGAAAATTCGGTCTAGCGAGAAAGCTGCCATGTTCGGGATGTAAACATATCCTACAATGCACCGCACATGCCAGCGGTTCCGGCTGATCAACCGACCTTGCGCATGCGCTATGTGATCGATGTTATTTCAGCCGGTGCGATCGGCATTAATCCGATTTAGTGGAATCGTCGCTTGGGGAGCGCGGCATACAGGATGGTTCCACTGACCCTAATCCAATCCCCACTCCTAGGTTAGTAACTCCATGTCATAACATACAAATGAACACAATCATGCCGATGCGGCTGATCGCCAAGTTTGACAGTGGACTCACAACTTCAAGTGTTAAATTATTGTTTCTAACATAGGAAAGTTAAAAAATTGTATTTTACTGCTATTTAGGTGTCTTTAATTGTCACTTTAAGTACCGATTATGAGTTTTGAACAGTGGTGTTTGAAATGTTGAGAATAAATAGCACAGCCAGGATATTGGCCGCGGCCTACTTACTTCTCATTTTTCGGTGCTGTGTCTCCGGTGTGGAGCCGGACGCTTGTCCACCTCTCCCCGCTGGAGGTGCGGCTGGTGTTCCAATCAAAGTTGCTCCTTGCCGCTTGCGAGGTGTATCTTTTTTCCGTTTACTCGCAGAGGACGGCGTTTTGTGTGTTTGCATTGGCCGTGGCATTTTGGAACAAATAAGCTAAAAAATCTACAAGAATTGCATTAAAAAGTTACTGGATCTACTTTAGCCCCGTCTATATCCAGAAATGTTGGCAACCGTCGATCGGTCAAACACAAATTCGCCGCGCGTGAATGTCACGTGATTAAATATTGGTAGTCTGAGCTGAGCTGCATGCAGACTCTGTTTTGAGAGTGTCGATATCTTGATTGGACTGAAGCGAATTCACCAGCGTCGCTCAGGGTAGTAAAATCATCAAGGGCGTCAATCCCGTAGGGGGGGGGGGCAGAGGGACACGTCCCCCACGGGTTTTCCTAGGGAGGGGGGGGGGCATCATATCAAAATTATGTCCCCTATGTTTTGTCAGAAAAGAAGAGGGACCACCAGGGAGCAACGATATACAAAATCTCACGAATTGGCCAACAACAACAAAAACAAAAATTAGTGACTCTTACCCTCTCTTAATCACTTGCTGGCTGTTTCGCCGCACAATATTTCCTGACGAATTGGGAAAGAAAAAACAAGTTACTGTGTCCATCCCGTTCTCAAGCTCGGATTGACGCCCTTTAAAATCATCACATCAGTACAGATTGAAATATTAAAACCCATATTATTTATCATCATCAGGCCCTAGGTACAAGTTGGTATATCCAGGGATGTGCACTGGGACTATCCTCCATGGTATATCATTAGTGATACATTATTATTATTATTATCATTTGAAATAACGAAAACATATTAGTGTACGAGGCGAACAAATGGTCTACAAAGAAAAGTGCAAAAACCTTGCTCACGGTTCGTTTCAAACGGGTCCATAAAGTAAACTATATAGTATCGACATCGATCTTTCCTGCAACTCAAAATGATAAATATAGAGCAATAAAGGTGGACCAACTATGAAAGGGAACTTTCATTTCAAGTGATCCCTATAAAAATAATGAAACAGTTTATTTTTTCAAAGCCATAATGTAAGATTTTTTTTCTTCTCTCCAATTAAGGTCATTTCTTCAGTAGAGAAAGGAGGGGGAGTGCCCTGTGCCCCCATCCCCTCCTTGCTGATTCCTCTTTAAAACCAGGCAGTAACCCCTTTAATATAACTCACATGAGAAATCCAGCCATTTGATTGGTTGAAATTGGAGTCGTGATTTTAGCCATTCCCGTAAAATGCCAATAATTCGTGAAAACAAGGACGAATATAATTATTGCTGTAAAAGTAGGCCTAACCGAACTAATCGTTTAGTTTTGGACTGCATGGAGCTCCTCGTATTCATAGATTGTGAAAATAAATTCCCTCACCTATATCTGTAGGCCTATTAATTATCAGCTTTAGTATAATTATAGTTGGTCAATATCATTGTGGGTCACAAGGCCATCATTATTCATTAATCAATGAATGAATTATGAGTGATTCTTTTTGCCTTTTTTTTGCCACTGGAGCTGCAGATAAGTAAATTGCTAAAATGTAATGACCTTAATTGCTGAATCATAACTAAATCCCTCTATATATGTAAATATGCGCATATAACAAATAAGGTGGTGATTTCGATGTCCGAACTTTGAAAGAAGTTCACGATTAAAATAACGTCTGTGCTGCTTTTGAAAATTGTTTGTAAAATGAAGGGGGGAGCCCGATACGTACATGAGTGCGTTTGGTGAAACTGATAAAACTTCTTCTTTTACTCGAGATTTCCTCCTCCCCCTCCTCCTAGCTCCTCCTCCTCAGTCATGCTCTCCTTCCTCCTCATTCTCCTTTTTTATTCTTCTTCTTCTTCTTCTCCTTCTTCTTCTCCCCCTCCTCCTTTTCCCCTCTTTTTTCCTTCTTCTTCTATATATACTTCCACGTCAACCGGCTTGCTATGATATACGTCATAAAAATACAGATGAGCCGATGGTTTCATCATTCTTTCATATATTCTCTCTCTTCACATATATATTTTGCCTCCCAATTCCCTCGCGTTCTCCTCATCTATAGGTCTACTCTCATTTCTTTCTTTTGAGTTTTGATTGACACACTTTCCTAGACAACAACAAAAGTTTCCTCCTGTTCGCAGATCTGATATTCTTCTTTTTTCCCTTTTTTTCTCGTTTACTTCAGCCGCTTTTTCTTTTCTCTTCCGCATCCTCTTCTTCTTCTTCTTCTTCTTCTTCTTCTTCTTCTTCTTCTTCTTCTTCTTCTTCTTCTTCTTCTTCCTCTCCTTTTTCTTCTTTCTTTTTTTTACTTCTTTCTCCTTTTTTCTTGTTCTTGTTCTTCTTTCTTCTCCTTTTTTTCTTCTTCTCATTTCATTTCATTTCTTTATTGTGTCCATTATTGTTTATATACATGAACAATCTTGCTTCAACATTATGAACATAGGAACAACATATAATTGACAGTCATAGGGCCCTGTTTTTAGTATACATTTCATATAATATACATGATCATGATGAATATACATTGAAATACTATTTCCTCTTCTTCCTCTTCTTCTTCATCTTAAGTTTTTTTCAGTTTTTTCTACTACCTCTACCTCTTCTTCTCCGGCTCCTTCCGTCCGTATTATCGCGCATGCGCACTGCACCAAACCTTACATTTCGCACGTTTTCATCTCGATTTCGATGGTAGGCGAAGACCAACACAGGACATCTATCCATGTTTTCGGCTGCATATCTGCAATTCGAAGGTATTTTTACATTTTTTAAGAATAGACTAATACATTTTTATTGATATAATATGTTTAACGGGCAGAATATTTATTATGAACCATAACTTTCTTTGAAAACGTTACCAATTCTAAGCTTTGTTCGAACTGATTTTGTCGATTGCCACTAATTTTGCAATGTTCGCACATGATCTCTACGAGTCATTTCGTATATGGTATTACCGGTCAGGAGGAAAGGGGACATAATTTCGTTATTTTTGACATAGAATACACGTCTCTCCGTGAGTATGAGCAGTGATTCATGTGAACGTGCCGATCTTGTGTTTTACCAGCAAATTCACATAAATTACCTTTTATTTTAGATTCTAGAAATGGGTGTCTGATCGCGCACTCGATTGTGAGTGCTAAAATCCTTCCCATAGAGATTGCACACATCCCTATGCAGTCTATGTGCATTGCGCGATGATGCAAAATTGGTCAATGTTTTTATTACCAAATGGAAATTCAAACCTTTATTGCTTGTGATCCTGAAGGTGATACTCAATGAATGAGGTGTCATATGAAAGAGCAGGTTAATCTCCATATTTCTCAAGGCCAAGGGGCTTCATCCCGGAATTCTAAAAATATCTGGGTCAAAAGACAAAACAGCGATTTAAACACTGTTTCGTGTCAATTTTCTCATCTCTTTTGGAATTGGAGTAGGGTAGAGTGCCCAGTATTCGGTCACTTAAGGGGAAATCACTAATATTTTGAATTCTTACCTCTTTTATTTGGCAATCTACCCATCGAAAGAAAAGAAATTTATTCCTCTAACAGGATTTTAGAGTAAAGTACCCGGTTTTCGGCCACTTAAGACAAAATCCTATTTATTGGACTCTTTACTTCCTATTTATTATCATTTCTTGTTCAAATCATGAAGCAAATATTATTATTATTTAAACAAAAAAAGAATCCAAAAAAAAAATCACGAATTGCCATGACAATATTCATTTCAATTTTCACTGTTTTGGAGCCGGTTATCGGCCAAGCGTTTCAGTTTACGGCCGCATGTACAAAGTCAATAGGAAGCGCTCGCGCGCGCCGTGCGTTTCTGCGCTGATGTATAGCACAAGCGGGCGGAGCAGGTATCCCACGCCGGAGCTCCCGGGTGCTCGCCTGACCGAATACAGGCACAGCGGTGATCGGAAGTTGGAATCTGAATTAGACGGACATATCGTGTGTGCGTCGCGGTGTGCGGCTGCATTGATTTAATACATGCGATGAGATACTTTTGAGCTTGCGACCAGCACAAAATCGGGCTCTATATCTCAAAAATACTTGAAATAAAGCTCATTTTATGGTACCCATATTTCTTACATACACGCGTAAGAAACTCGATTTTTCAGATTTGGGTAGCGGGACCGCCGATTACATCGCTAAAATGTGATATTTTAGGATATATTTTTCATTGCAAATGTGGTTCTTCAGTGACACTGGCATGGTATGGTATGTGTGGGATATGTGTTATGCTATTATGCGATGTATTTTAAAGTGATTTTACCATGTATCCAACCAATTGGCCGAAAACCGGAGCTGACCGATTACCGGGTACTTTACTCTATAGTCACTTAAAATATAGAATAATGATAAGCAAAATACTTCCGAAAGAAGACGGAGCATTTTTCTGCCCAGAATTCGGTCGCGCCGATTAGAATTCGGTCACGCGATTTGTGCGTGGTATCTCCGTTGCCAAAGAGCGAAGCGTATTTGCGCACTATTTTCACACAATTGCACGATAAAGCACTGAATGTCAATGCGTTGACCGAATACTGGCCGAGCGATACCGCATGGCAGGGGTATCGTATAAATACCTCTCGCACATCGGCAAATGCGTCATTTGGAAATTCACTGCGATGAAGTGAACACGGAAGTGATTCTCTTCACACACATACTAAATTCATTGCGACAGCACACGCAGTTGTTTCGCAATAGACTTCTACATATGGCTATGCATGTTAGCGCATGTGCTAAGAGAACGCAGAAGTGCAGAAAGTCTTGAGACACTGACCAATTTTGAGCTAAGTTGGAGATCTTTCCGGGGCCCTAAATCTGATTTAATTTTGAGAGTTAAGAAAAGTTGTTCAGCTGCCTGATTTGTGCAAGTTTCGTGGCTCTTAAATTATTTTTTAAATTGTTACAGCTGTTGAAACGGCTGTCTGACCGAATACTGGGAATTGACCGAATACTGGGCGCGCTACCCTAATTTTCCTAAAAACAGAGACATTTAGTATACACTTTCCTAAAGCCCCAGTCCCATATAAAGCCGGACCAGCACGGACGAGCACGGACCACTCCGGACCATCCCGGACCATGGTCTGGGGTGATCCGGGATAGTCCGGGATGTTTTGTTCAAAAAAGTGTGATGCTTTTAAGCTACAGTCCCATATACATCCCGGACTCCATCCGGGGTGATCCGGGATTCGGTCCGTGTTGACACCGTGTTGGCACCGGGGTGGTCCTGGATGGTCCTGGGCGGTCAATAACTCACTCCCGGACTGCCACGGATCAACACGGATCAACACGGACCGCCCCGGCGCCACTACGGATGACCCCGGACCCAGCACGGTGGCTACACGGATCACCCCGGATCAAACTATTGTCCCGGACCGTCCCGGACCACCCCGGCAGTTTTTGACCGTCAAAAACATCCGGGGTCGACTTCCGGACCGCCCAGGACCATCCAGGACCATCCAGGACCATCCAGGACCACCCCGGTGCCAACACGGTGTCAACACGGACCGAATCCCGGATCACCCCGGATGGGGTCCGGGACGTATATGGGACTGTAGCTTAAGGTAGGATAAGGCATATACATGCGCGTCCTGAAGTTAGCGGCTGTAATCTTAAATCCTCATTAAATTCATACAAGTAATTCACATTATGAATTGATGATCATTATCATTATGGTCGCTAACTTCACGCATACGCGCTTATATCTCTATTTTTAGAAAAATACTTGAAAATAGATTTAAGATTATTGACACAATTTTTGTGAGGCTCGTTTATATCAACAATACCTCACATGTATGCTGATTTTGGTAAGTTGTAAGTTCCACAACTTTCACAATGCTCCAGATAAACGGTGGGAAACAGTACATGTATAGCTATAGGCAGAAATGCGCTTAACCCTGAAAAGCAGAGGTTTCCATTTGTTGCCAATCATTCTAGTTGCAGCGTTCCACGTTTTCCTGCGATTCTCAGGGCTGCAAGATTGACATCAGTTGCCCCTGCATTTTTAGGGGTCTTTTGCGCCTAGACTTAATAGCACCCTGTATGAATTATGCACATGCTCAGGTTATTAGAATCTTGATGCAGAAAAGAGGGTATCAGAAATACTTGGATGTTTATTACATAACTTGTGCTTATGTAGTTATCTAGCCTAAAACTGCATAAGCCTGCATAAGCATACAGATCATAAACAGATATCTTTTGTACATGTGCGAATCCTTGATTTACTTGACTGTTGGATGTGATCCTTGTGTAAGCATGGCAAGTGTGAGCTGTGCTGTGTGGGTGTGTCACTTCTTTAAATGCTTTTCAGATTAATCCTACAAACAGTGTCAATTATAGAGTATGGCTGGGTTATACCGAAAGAGTTTGGCAATAGACCAACTTGCATAGATCTATCTGAGCTGTGTGTGCAACTGTGCATACTCAGTTATTATCAAAGATGACAAGCTGTGGTCATTTTATTAAAAGTGCATTTTCAGATAATTACCAGGGCTAAAATCTGCCTGTTGCTTATAGCTATTCTTGAGTGAATGATCAAAAGCTATCAATGGCAACATCGGTTATGGTCTATAATGGCGTTTTCAATCGCAGTAGCACTTTGTGAATTTACTTTTTTACTTTTTTTTGTCTGCTGTTGTGTGCAAGATATATAAATGTTAACCTGGGCTATAATTACATGATTCTCAAAGTCTCACATTTGTGTTTTTACTATGAATCTTGTTGTCAGTTTTTCTCTTAATCATTTTTGAAACTTTCTCTTTCATTATGTAGCTCCTCTGGCTGTATTTATATTGCCTGTGGAGCAAAGAGTGCAAGAAGAGGAAGCCGCCTCCTTATCTGCCCTAAGGTCTGGTGTGGTCCCACACCTTTGGTCCCGTGTGTTTGCTGACCACTCTGTAGTTGGTCTTGCATAAGGTCCGTCCGTCTGTACATCAGTCTGCATGGCTGAAATCAAGTATAACCTGCCAAAGGCGGTAAGGTCAAAAGTCAATTAAGGATGTAGTGATGTTGGTAGATGGTTGTGTACAGTGTATAAGGTTTCGTGGGTATATTCGAGCAATGCATTAACAATGAGCAATGCAACATGCAGCTTTGTGACTGAATCTAGTGTCACAAACGCAAAAGCAGCTCTGAACGCAAGAGTTATGCTCGTTCCTAAGTAACAAATGTGTCTATTAGTATTTGTACATCATTTATAAGTATTATTGTAATGGTGGTCATACACATAGTACCGAATCTATGCTGTTCATTGTCAAATGCTGGTCACACAGCTGATACATTTTCAGTCGACCAAAGTAATTGCAGGGTAGAATTAACATTGGTATTCATAATTATGAAGGCATACAATAAGTTGTAAATGCGCAAGTCTTTGACTGCCTTCAGTGTTGCAGGTTTTGTGCAAGTTCGCCACAAGTCACAATGAAAACAAATTCTTCATGATTTCAATGTTTGTTTCAATGTATGTGATAATTGCGTAATATCACTACCTAAGTCCGATAATTCTGTCATTTAATACATTGAAAATTGCATGTCAATGAAAAACAGAATGAGGGCGGTGGATAAAGACTCGTCAATAACAGAGTGATAACATGTAGCTGTAATGTTTTTTTTTAAAATTATTAATGCAGAGCACCGACCAATCTACTGTAAGGATTGCTTTGTTTGACATGGATTCTTAAAATCCTCATTTGATAAAGATATCACTGTCCCACTTGTAGTGTCATCTCATATCTCAGATATTATATAGTCTGTTTGGAGCCAAAGGGCTTTTACACAGAGCTTTTGCCTTTATAGCTCCAAGCAGAAGTTTCTCAGTATAGTGCCTAAACACTACAGCATTTACAAGTGCTGCAAGATTTACATAAGTCTGCAAAGGATTTTTACACTGAAGGTAAGGTATATCCTCTCAAACAGTTTATCACTTTAAATTCTATAGTAGGCTCGTAGCATTGTGTACAATCTTGGACTCTACAATATCAATGTGGCATTTTGAATATTATCCTACATAAATATGTAGGATTACACATGTATTAGGATTGCATTTGATCCATTCATTTTATTCTCACCTAGAAAAACTAGCAATAAGTCTTGATTCTAAAACCACTTTTTTTTTTGGTACCAATTACAAATATTCCTGTAGCAGTTTTTAATCTTCCATATTTCATTTATCTTCTTATTTCATTAGGTGGTCGTCAAATGCCGTCAGCGTAGGGGGCGTAGGAAGACGGTCGCCATGGCGCCTGCGTCCCTGAACGGCCCCGTCACCGGGCTGGAGGAGAAGGAGATGGAAGGGGAGGACGCAGTTGAGTGGTGCAAGGAGTGCATGAAGCGAGGCGAGCTGAACGCCGTCAGCTACCTGCAGATCAGCGACGAGCTTGCTGTTCTTGTGTGCAACGACAAGCAGGTAAGAAAGCAGGGGGCGTTTCACAAAACTTGTCATCAGTGACAAATGACAGTTTTTGTTATAAGCTAGTGAAATCCTTGCTTCTGATTGGTTATCAGCATATTTGTCATTGAAAAAAGGCTTTGTGAAAAGCAGGTAAGATAGCTGGAGGTCAATCCATAGACATTAGGGACTTTTAGATTTGCACAACGACAACGTGGATTGCTACGATCGAAGTTCTTTTAATGCACTGCCTTGAATGGACGTCACACGTATCAGTCCACTCAAATCTAAAACTCCCTATTGATGTCAAGTGGTACCATTTCAAGTGTATATGTTCTACATTTTAATGATCATTTGAATATGAGTGGGAAGTAAGTTTGGTAGGCATTCCATACAAATTGTTGTCAGACGATACCATTTTGCTGGAAAAATTCTAAAATTTTGAGGGACTGAACTTAAATTTTGGGTACCTGCTACTGTCAAGCCATGGTTTAGGTTTGTTTTGAATACAAGGTAATTGAAAAATCTCTTTAAAGTTGTATTGAAAAGCTAAAATTTCAGATTTAGAATATTCACAGCACTCTTTGATGTACATGCATAAGTGCTTAAAAAGAGACTAAAAGTAATGTGGATGTTTTGCCCAGATTGGTTCTTATAGTTGTTCAAATATATTACTGAGGTAACATTTTTGTTTAACTGAATTTAATTTTCATTCTCTTTTTAGTGTACATCATTACCTACGCTAGCTCCTGGCTCACATCTAGTTGTGGAACGAAGAGCAGCGGACTTCATCCAGTGCAGGAGGCGTAAGAGACGAGCAACCAGTCTGCAAAAGTTAGATCCCACCAACCCCCAAAACAAACTCATCAGCCAGTCACAGCCCCAAGGCCCTTTGTCCGCAACCGTCTCTCCACTCCCTCCCGGAGGTATCGTCCAGTGGAACAATGAAAGCAACATGTGTTGGCTAGATGTGTGCATGCTCCTGCTGGTGCAGTTCAGAAGCCTTCGAAGATGTCATCAAGCACTTGGCGCAACGTCCCCATTGAGGAAGCTGTGTGAGGGTTTTGTTTCAGCCCAGGATATGGCAAGTGCTGATGTTGAAGCAGCCAAGCAGAACATGTGTGAACAAGCGGAAAGCAATAATTCTGCATCGGTGGAGCAACCAACCAATGCCTCTGACGCAGATCTGCTATCGGCATATCTGGGGAATGATCTCTTTGGAGCGGGAGATAACCCTAATCTGGACCATGCAGACCTCCTTTCAGACAGTTTCCTTGATCTAATAGATGGGAAGCTGCCAGACAGCAATGTGTGTGATACAAGTGCCCAACATGTAGCTGATGAGCTTGGTGATTCTGTCCCTCCAGACAAAGACCGTCTCTCTCCTAATACCACATCGTCAAAACAAAGCCCTCATCTTCAAGACAACAGTAGTGGGAAACTTGCAGCTGCCGTTGAATCGCTTAAAACCCTCCGAAAGGAACTCTTTGATATGCTGAAGCCCAAACTTGGATGCAGAGAGAACAAAGAGGAGAGTCTGATTTCTGCCCTTCCAATGCTCCTTCGACTGGATGGTGTCACAGAAGAGCACTTCAACTTGCGTTACAGGAGGGAATCCTACTGCTTCTTATGTGGATCTTCAAATGTAACAATGTAAGTAGTTACAGTGACTCAGTAACATTGCCTCAGATTCTGAAACAAAATCCTATATTTAGCTCATGCTGCAATCATGATTATAAACCTTTAGGTCAGTCAGGAACCCCATGACTTTTACAAGCTGATCGCCTGTCTGATTATCAAGATATTTATGATTGGAAATCAAAATTTCATTTTTCGTTTTCCCCAACGGTTTTCATAACACTACAGTCTATTGGGGAAAATGAGTTTGACACTTGTCACTCGAAGATTGTCACTTTTTTTAAGCGCAATTTTTTTAGGGCTTCAAATATTACACCATATCACAGACACTGATGACACGTAGGACCATGCATCTCAGATATAACATTGTTAAACGATGCCTTTAACCGTTTGTCGTAGATTTGTTTGTTGTTACTCTTTGGGATTTGTTTTTTTTTACTGTTTAACAAATATCATGTAAAAAATGGTGTGAATTTCTTAAGGATAAGGAATAATGTTAATCTTTATATTTTACCTCCTGTTTTACAGACATCGGAACGTCATCGCGTCCGTGACTTCTACCTCCAATGACTTCAGCATGCAGAATCTCACTATGCATCACCCGTGCCCACAATGCAAAGCTCCAGGGCAAACCAGTCGCCTCATCTACCACAGGTAAGGATCAAAGCATTTCACATTTAATGTGTGTGTGTGTGTTATTGGGTTTTTACAAACGTGAGTATCAATCAGATACGATTAATTATTTACGTCTGGGGACTGACCTTTAACGCCACCATCTGAAAGACGTGACTCAGTTTCGAACCTGCGTCCTCAGCTGAATTAGTTTGTAACTTCCATTATTGGCTGGCTTACAGGGGCACGCCACAACGCCACGTTAAATGATTTGAGGCATAATGATTTGTAGAATTTCTCTATGTGCCCTACGTTGTTAGTGTTTTTTAAACAATAATACATTAACATACATTGTATCAGAACTTAGAATACATGGATATATAAGAGCAATTTAACCAGATAATAATAACATAATGAAAGCAATATTTACGTATGTGTGAGAAGAAAAAAGAAGAAAATTAGCAAGATCCACATTCCTTTTTGGGGAGGGGCTTTTATTTGCCAGAAAATGATATTTTAAAATAATCTTTTTTTAGGTCCACATGTGTCCATCTGGAAAAACAAATGTTACCAGTCCTGAATGCATTAACTGTCAGCTTTTTAGTCCATACCATATCATGCCTTGACCTTGTCTCAATTTTCTGATAATTAATTCATTTCTTTAAGGTAAAAATTCACTATTTTATGTATTAAATGACAATAGTGGAGTTAAGTAATAACCTCAATCCTGGACTCAACCTCCATACTAACATGAAAGATAATCCCAACCCTTCAGCTATGACCCTGTTTTAAACAAAACAAAGTCTGAAGCATATGCCACAGGATCACTCACTTGCACATTGGTAGAGGGAGTTTTTATTTCAGGCCCACCTCTACCATTAATAGTATGCTACTGATATATTTAAATTCTTTACATCTTGCTGCATACATGTCTCTTTACAATTTTATTAACACACTATATAATTCTTTTGTTTTACAACAGCCTACCAGCCTGCCCGCTAATTCATTTTAGCAATGGCCTGAGCAGTACCACTGAATTACCCTGGCTTCAGCCTGACTTCCGACATAGAGGGCAGCAGTACCATCTGAGTTGCATCGTCCAGTACGTTCGCAACCCGAACCATTTTGTCATCTGGATACGAGACCCCTCAAGTAAGTACAAAATGAACGTTCCTGGTGTGTGGAATAACCACGCTGCAAAAATGTGCCCAAGTAAATTGGATGCCTGTCTGTACACAGTGATGATACAATGCTTCTTATGGTGGAATAGAGATTTCAATGAATAAGCTTCAATGATGTTTTGTCTGTGATAACTATATGAAAGTCAGTTATGTAATATGGTGATGATAAGTGTAACTTACTTAGTGAGGGCATTTTATCATTTAGGAAATCAGTCTAGCCACTTCAGATATTCAGAGCCTTAGACACTTCAGACTGCCCAAATTGTGATAAAATGTATCAATTTTGAATGTAATGTTAAATGTGGAAAGTCAGGAAGTATTACAGATGAATTCAGAAGAAAAAATTTGAATGTACTATTCCATCAGTAGGGGAAAAATGGAAAGCAATCTTAGAGATTTTACTAACGGTATGTATAAAATTAAATATAATCTTTGAAAGCATCTAACAAATTATTTTTGTTCACTTGTATTTTGCGTACAGGAGAGCAGTGGTTGAAGTGCGATGGTCTCTCCTCTCCAGTTTGTCTGTGGCAGTCTCAGGAACCCTCCATCCCTCCCTCTGAAATCCACCTAGTGGGTTGGGAACGGCAGAACAGCGAATGCTATTCCTGCATGGAGCTACAGCAGCAGATGGTTCACATCGAGGAGGCAGCGCTCGAGAGGGAGGATGACCCCGCGGTCGTAAAAGCCAATAGTACAGAAAGAACTTCCGTTGATTGCGATGCACCCCTCAGGAAAAGAAGCTGCCCAGTGGTGGTCAGGCGCAGTGCTTCTCCACTGACTATTGCAAAGGGTACTTGGCCTTCTCTAGTACAGGCAGCAAGGAATAGGTCAGACATATCACGTTTGGCTCCTAGACGAACCGAGCCACTGCCTGGATCTAGCATTCTGTCCATTGGGACTCCTCCCCAATCTCCTGAGTTTCAGATGCCAAAGACAAGTGGTCCATCAGATTCAAATAACAGTATTTCTTCCGCCACGTTCGATAGAACCAAAGAAACTGACAAACTCAAAGGTGACACATCCAAACAGCAGACATTGTCAGATAAATTGAAAGAGGGTGGGTGGGAGAGAGCAGTCACTGCTGCAAAGTCTGAGAATCAGGGACATTTGAGCAACAGGAGGAGTGTTGCTAGCTATCTACAGAGCAAGTTGAAATATCCCCAGAAACCCCCTGGAGTTCTCACCGGACTTCTGGGGAACTATACAAAATCAATTGCAAAACAACAACAGGATACGGGCGAGGAAGCCATCACACCGCGTGGGATTTACAACCCGATCACCAAGAACTTCTCTGTGCTTCAGACCTTGCGCTCCCTCAATGTCAACTCTTCACTACCAAAGACAGACCGAGTACCTAAGCCAGACAAGAAACCTGGCCCTAAAACCAAGCCCCTGATGGAAACGGGAGGAGCCGTTCTTCCCTCTGTTCCTAAAAAGGTTCAGAAGATGCGTATCCCTCGGCAGAAAATCAACTCCTTCAGTGCCTTTAAAGAGAAGTCCTCCAGCACATTTTCGGGCTACTTGAAGCAGAAAGACCCAACTGCTGAGGATATTCATACCAACCGCAAGGACGATCGTCGTCGTGAGAGCAACGCCAGCCAAATCCAGGAGGATGATTTCCAATCCAGCATCCTCCTGACTCCATCGTCTTCTGTCTCGAGTCCCAGCGCATGCTCCGATGTTAGCCTCCTGAGCGAAACCCTGCTAGCAGGAGGCACGGAGGATCACGAGGGAGAGAGCCTCAACAACACGATGAATGCTCTGTGCAAGGCTTTGGATGTCGCAGCAGGCGGTGCACCACAGACTGTTGTCTCTCAACCCCTCCCCAGTGTGGACGATGATAGTTTTCTTCAAGGTCTACTTAGATGATGGCTTTAGTCTGATCTAGAAGGATCTTGACAGTTTAGAATTGATAGAGAATCCAGGAATCTTTAGTTACGTACTGCATTACCTTCTGGTTGTTTTGGGATAGTACACCCTGGCCTTCCAAGGATGTTCTCCTCGTTTCTCCATTGCAATAATATTTTCTCATATTCATAAGATATTCCCCTTTTTTTCTTGGTGTTTGCATATTTTCATGAAGGCAGTGATATTGATATTGGTCATTGATTGTGATGATAGACCAGCTACCTCAGTTATGACTCGGTAAGTTGCCTCAACGTTTGTGAACAAGCCTTAATCGATATGATTATCTCCAAAAATCAATCACAATAAATGAAATCATTAGATAACCATTAAAGTATAGAAAACGTACTCCTCACCACATTTTAGGCATTCATAATATCGTTAAGGGGTCTTGTTTACTTCACTGTTAGCTTTGACTCATGACTGAATATACCATCTATCCATTGACAAATGTTATTTCTTAATAAAGGTGTAGATCAGGGAATTGCCATCAAATTTTGGTTGAAGCCATAATAATGTTTTCACAGCTTCAAAGAAAATGGCTTCAGCTGAACATACAGTTTAAACGTCTAAATTTTCAAAGTGCCAATAATCATGACAATTATTTCTAATCAGATATGATTATGAGGATAAATTGGAATTTTACATCAGTTGATTTTTATTTGCTCAGTCAATGCTGTGGTGTTTCAAAAAATTACCTTTGAGGTCAGAAAAAAAATTGTGATTTAGAATTTGATTGTAGGACTGGGTATACAAATTTTGCATTGTTCTGACGTGTGTTACGCCTTTCCCTATCTCACATTTTAAATAAATAAATAATATGGTTATTTATATAGCGCCGGTATCCGCCAGGTTCTGACGCTCATGGCATAGATTAACGTCTTGCCAAAGGACATTAGTGCTGCGGCGGGACTTGAACCTTATTGCTTTCTCATGCACTTACGAGCATTGTGCTCGTTAATGTATCCTTGATGTCTCAACAGTTAAGAATCGTAATAGAAATGTGACTCACCGTACATGCATCATACCAACTACATCAGCGGAAATGTCGTCTGCCGAGAAGTGAAAACCATAAGGGAGTTTAACCGTATATTTCAACTCAGGGTTAACACCCTTCTGGTACTTGGCAGATGATGTTTCTCTGCATGTAATCTATGTACATTGTATGGACTCAATCAATGCTGACATGTATTTCAGTCTAGAGTCTTCCAACAACACCAAGCTTAAAGATAAAGTTGAGTTCTGGTCATGCGATTGCATTGTAAAAGAAACGCATACATGCCAACTGTTCAGATTAAAGAGCAACATTCCTCTTTTGGGAGAAGATAATTATCATTTTAATGCAGGTGTTCCTCTTCCTGTACAAATTTGTCTGTAGTATTGAATAGGAGAGTTAGGATTGTTCCTCTCTTTTTTTGAAAATAGCATAATTTGTACAGATTTCTGATTTTCAAATGTTGGCATGTATGGAAACGGTGTGGAATCGACCAGAAAAGGTTGATCATCTAGCATATAAGTATTTGTGTGTCTTCAAACGATGCACGCAGAATGGTGATACGGGCCTAAAACTGCGCACATTGCGAACAACCCACATGTAATGTATGCACGTCGCGCTCCGATCCGGGTATGTATACATGGTGCTGCCGTTTTTTTTAAGCTGCTCGATTGGGCGATATGTTAAGGTGAGAGATTTTTTCAAAAATACTGTTTTTTGTCCCAAAATACTGTTTTTTGCTCTTAAGAATACTTTTTTTTGTCGAAGAAGGTTGGCATCTCTGATGAAGGCATTTGAATAGCCATGCTTTTTAGGGAACATTTGTGTATCTGATGTTCTTCCACCCTTGCATAATACAAATGATAATGCTCACAAATTATATTTGACCTCTTCCCAGAACTCAACCTTCTCTTTAAAACCATTTCAGAGGATTAAAGCTCTGGAAGGGCAGATAAAATGGTCATATCTACAACTTAAATGTAAGTGCATCTTCCTTTCCAAGTTTGAAAGGGCACCTTACCGACTAATCATAGGCTTGTGAACCCTGTAATCCATTAATGGCATTTTGTTACTCTATACCTAGCAAATATTAAGACCTAGACATTATAAAATATTAATTTTATCACAATATATTAGTGGCTAATTGTAGGAATTTGGTGTATTCACTAAAAGTGTAATCTAGACTCAGTTTCACTGCCAAATTTTGGATCTAATCATCTTAGAATATTATGATTTAGAGTATTTTTGAAAGTTGTATTTCTGAGGAGCATTTTTGGAAAGGTGATATTCGGTCAAGAGTATCCATGTAATAGGAAATTAGAAATTAAGTACTCTAATTGAATTGCAGTTTGGTCAAAATTGTATGAGATTTCCTCAATTTATAGATATTCAAATAAAATTGGATCATACATTATTTTAGAAAAATGAAGACAAGTTATATAAAAATTTACTATGAAAATTAGGTGTTCATGAAGCAAAGTGTTGACATTTTGAAGGTGATGTTGAATTTGTCATTGCTCAATTTATAGATGTGTAGGAAAATCTGTAGTGAGATAACTTTGGAAATGTACTGTGAAAGTTTTGATATTGATTTGATTCGATGTCAGATATTTTGAGGTTTCATATCTTAGAAGACCATTTAAGAGAATCCTTAACGTGATAATTATAATGCTTGGAATGAAAGCAAATGATTTAGAGGTACTTTTTTTATTTGAAGATATATTTTCAGTACCGAGACAGTTGGTGAACTTGCAGACCATGTATTTCAAATAGATATATTTTAAACCAGGTTTTCCTTTTGGTAAGCCAATCCCCATCAACAGATTTCCAGTCATATGAAGGATGCGCTTGTGAAATAGATTGAACCAGAGCCATCAATTGGGAGAGTTTGACCAACCTGGTTCGAGTTAGGCACAATATCTTCCCTGGCCACCATCTTTTGCACTCAGAATATTGCTACAAACATTTGTATTTGTATAATGTTTGTCACTCTAATTTTGTATTCACTTGATTGTATTGTTTCATTGTTATATTTCTTGAAAGTGCCGAATGAATAATAATAAATAAATAAATATGACAAAATACTACTTTTTAGGCAAGACCGAAGAAGAATATATATGCTATGTTGCGACCAAGTTGGCCAAACTCTGTGTATAGATGGCATTGGATTGAACTGAACCTACTTCAGTGACAGTTGTCCTTCTAAAACATATCCAATTCCTAGCTTCAACTGTGGATCCAATTCCTAGCTTCAACTGTGGATGCAATACTAAAACTAACCCTTATCTTAAAAGCCATTCGCATCCCATGCCCATACTCTATATGTCTGTGGTGAATTTAATGCATGAGCAAGCATCAAACACCAATAAGTGTGCAGCTGCCGTAGAATCTAGATCATTTTGAGCACCATAATTATGTTATCCAGGGCATTTATGGCACTTGGCCCTGTTAAGTAGGTCACTCAGTTGAGGGTCAACAATCTTGGAGAGAAGGTATTTTCAAGATGTAAAATCACGTGTTTTGTACCGATTTCTTTCTACTTGTATGTTCTTTTTTATGTATATGTCCTTTTGTATTTTTGTGTATAAAGTAATCGATATGTTCCAGAATCCATATCATTTAAATGTATTTTTTTCTGTAAAAGATGAATTTGAAAAGTAAATGTTGAAAATAGAACACATTGTTGTCTTGTATTTTGCTTTGTGCGATGCTGTAACGTAACACATTGACATTTTATTGTCATGCTGACATGAAAATTTTGTGACACAAATGTTAAACATCCTTTGGCTAGGAGTTGAATCTGTTGAATTCAAAGATGTGGGAGGGGGAATTCAAGAAGTTCCAAGGTATTTTGTGCTGTACATGAGGCCTAAAAAAATGTGTTGTATTGCCCTTTAGGTGCCAAAACATGGGTCGGTCGGTCAGAAATCTTTTCTTTTCTTTTAATTTCTTTTTTATTCCCTCTTAGGGCTGATATTTTTCAGATTTCAATGCTTTAATATATTTTTTTCCTTAAAAAATGGCTTTAAAAAATTTAAAAATGAAATGCTGAACGTTGATTTCAAGATTTTGGGGTTGGTCGCAAAGGGCAATACAACATATTTTTTTTTTAGGCGTGACTGACTGCATCAAAGATTTAAGTGTACCTAATCGATGCTTGAAAACAAATTTGGGAACCTAACTAAATACTATCTGACCAATTATCGGGGTAAGTAATACTGGTAGGTCCAATTATTCCATTACACTCTGTAACGTATGGGATACAGATAGACCAAATGTCTTGGATTTGCATAAAAACAGGTCCTGGGTGTTAAATGTGTGGATCATTGCATCTTGCCTTATTATGATGTCTTTGCCTAAAGTCCACCCAGTTATTAAAGCCCCTCTTTTAAATGTGTTGGGAGCCCCAAATTCGCCAAATATTCGATGGCAAAATTTCGTTTAAATAGTATCGTAATGTGAACGAGGTTGTAATTTAAGACACACTTCTGCATAGATCCCCTCCCCCCTCCCCCCCCAAAAAAAAATGTGTTTGAAGGTAAATATTGATAAAAGAATACATAGCTTGGGTTTTCTGTTGTATGCAAATTTGTATTCTTTCATCAATATTTGACCCTTGCAGAAATGTGTCTTAAATGACATCCTCTTTTCATATCATATCCTATGATTTTTCCAGTATAGCGCCCTCAGTCGATTCAGTATCCTCTCACCGTTCTTTAATCTATTATTCGTTCCCCCTTTTCTCTGCCCTCGCCCCCACAGCACCCCCCCCCCCCCCCCCCCCCCCCCACAGCACCCTCCCTCTCTCTCTCTCTCTCTCTCTCTCTCTCTCTCTCTCTCTCTCATTCTCCCTTTCCCGCTCTCTCATGCACTCCAGTAAAATATCACAATTAATGACCTTTGAATGCAAAGAACCTATTCACACCTCACGTTCGACAGACTTCCTTTCCAAACACAGGTAATGTTACAAAGACAACAGTTGCAAATGGCAGAACCTTCAAGCCTTCTGCGACTCGAATTTATATTGGACAGACACGAACACTAATAATCTGTTATCGTTTATATACGCCTGCTTTTCGAATTGCCTAGAAAAATTGCGAGTGTATCACAAATGTGTGCATATTGAATTTAACTCGTAAAGTTGTCACCTTTGCAAAGATATCAATGCAAATCGGGGGCTAAAGATTTTCACACCTTGGTGTGTCAATAACAATGTCACGAAGGCAAACAGAATATCATTGGACTCAGTCATCATAGACTTAGCGAGTAACATATTTTAAACGTGTCTAAATTTTCTTAAAGTATATTTAAAAAGGTTCTTGGTTGTAATCTAATTTTGTGTTAATTTGTATCGTTTACAAAATGTAAATTTTTAGTTTTGTGAAAAGTGGTTAATATTTTTTCTTTTTACGTTGCCTTCTCCTTTTGCCTTTCTCTTTTTCATTTGTTTTGCTCTCTTTCTCATTCTCTTTTCGCCTTTCGACGGGAGGGGGGGGGGGCGCAAGTGTCCCCCGTATCCCTTTAATAAGATAAGTCACTACAAACAAATAACACAAGTCTTGTGCATCACTCAAATGTTATCTCAGCATGTACTTTGCCCGTTTCTAAGGATCACCCGACATAGCAAAAAATTCGTCAAAGGGAAGTTCATTAATTTGTTAACATGACTGATTAAAACAAATATGTGTTGTCTTCCAAGCGCAGCTTTATGCGATTCTAGCCAGTTTATCTTTCAGAAATAGAAAAAAAATCATGGCATGCGACCTGGTTTTTAAACCCAAATTGTAAAATCGGACACACGTGCTACTTGCCCTAATTGTCTCATTTGTCGTAGTAGATCATAGAAAACGTCTATTCCTTTCCCAAGCCCCAGGTGTGAGAGCAATCCGTGATAAAGTGGTAAAAATATCAATGTTTCCATGTCAACCGGCATGATAAGGCTGAATGTTTAATCATTCTTTAATTTTTATAATAGTTTTTCTTTTTCTTTTTTTCTCTCTCTTTATACCTCTATCTCTCTCTTCTTTTTTTGTCTCTCTCTCTTCCTTTTTCTTTCTCTTTATCCTTATTTTTTAATTTATACCTCTCTCTCTCTCTCTCTCTCTCTCTCTCTCTCTCTCTCTCTCTCCTCATCCTTTTTGCACTTTCATTTCTTTCTTTTCTTTTGATTACCCCCACACACTTTCATTTCCTTAGACAACAAAAGTTACCTCCTGTTCACAAATATTCTTCTACTTCTTCTTCTTCTTCTTCTTCTTCTTCTTCTTCTTCTTCTTCTTCTTCTTCTTCTTGTTCTTGTTCTTTCTCTCCTTCTCCTTTTGCT